TAATAGATTCGTTTTCCCTTATTCCTGGATAATATAAATTACAATCTTCTTTGTCTTTATTTGTATTAGTTAAAAACTATTGCATTTTTTAAAAATCATAATAGCATCATAATCTCTTCTATTTTTTGAGAATTTTAAACATTTTAAGAATTTTTAATATCTAATTTATTTTATTAGAAAAAAATAATATGAAAAATAGAATAAATAACGATGAAAAACTTTAAATATATAATGTTTTTAAAAAGATGAAAAGATATTTATTACATTATCATTAATATTTATAAAAACATTTTAAAATTATCTCTTTCATCAATGACAAAAAGAAATGAATAAAAGTAAAAACAAAAAATCTGTGAAAAATAAAAATCTTATTTCAACTATTTATATTTTAGTAATTGAAAAAAAAAAAATTTAAGAAATAAACTTACAAAATTAAAATATTTTGAAGGAAAATAAAAGAGAAACACAGAGAACGTAGTTTGTAGACTCTGTGTAGTTTGAAAAACAATCAAAAAGCATTTAATTCAAATTGTCAAAAATGAATTCATATTGATATTCCAATGATTATACTATTGTATTAAATAATATTATTTATATTCCGAATTATGTTAACAATTTTTAGTATATCTTATATGTTCATGATCTCTCAATATATATATTAAAATTTGATATTAATTTAAATTAGTATTCTGATAATATTGATGATTTTATAATTTATTTTAATTATATTTATTTATTTGATATTTTTATCTTTTATTTTCATTTTTTATTTTTAATAATGCAGGAAATAAAGAATAAAATATTTATGTTTTTCTTTATTTAGAAAAAGCTTAAGCGTCCGACATTTAATTTTTCAAATATTTGTAAAAAAAAATTGTTACTTTTATATAAAATTATTATATAATTTTTATTATTATATAATTATTATTATATAACATTAGGAGAACATATAATCTCTACAAATAATCAATGATCAAGTTTAGCTTTTCAAATATTTGCAAAAAAATTGTTACTGTTACATAAAATTACAAAAAAAAATGATTATCATTTATCATTAATTATGTAAAATTTCGTCTATGATACAGCTTGTAATCATATACATCACCATTTGTACTTTATACTTTATATATTAATATAAATACATAATAACAGCAGATATAAATATAATAAATATAACAGAATTAATCAAAAAGTTATTTTTTTATGAATTGCAATAGGTTTGATATCTTTCTCTCTATCGAACTTACTGAGCATTTTATAGAAATCATCAAATTGTTATTAATAAATTTTCATAGAGAATTGAAGCTTCCATAAATCCTTTGAGTTCTCAAAATACAAAGATAAAATGTAAAATAATCTTTAAACGACCGAAGTTACAATGATAGCTAATTGTTAATGAATATAATTTATAATTAAATGATATTTATTTACTGCTTATTTATTGTTATTATGACCAACGATTGTTTTATATTTACTTTAAAATTAAAAGAAAGAACGAAACAGACCAGTGAAAAATTAAAATTTCAAATATTGCACTTATTTATGTTTTATTGCAGAAATATTCAATAGAAATATATTCAATAGAAAGAGTGTATAAAACAATACTATATCATACTATATTCATACTATATCAATACTATATTCTCTTCTAACGTTCTAATTGGAACTTTTAAAAATTGGATAAATAAATTTTTTTTCTATATACATTAGAATAAATAGTATAAATATATATATAGTAGTAAATATTTTAAATTTTATTTATTAGATAACTTATTGCAACAGTATATTTTTATATGTAAATAATTTGAGATGTTTAAAGATTTTAAAATCAAAATCAATATTCGAGGTTAAGAAATTAAAATTATAAGTTTCTATATATATTTTTTTATAATCTAAATTTTATATCTAAGTTTTTCTTTTATATCTAAGTGTTTCTATAAAATTTCTATAAAATTTAAATTGTTCTTTTGTTGTTAATAAAACAATTTTTATATTTTGTGTAAATATAATATTTTTTTATTATATATTTAATTATTATATGTATTATATGTATATTTTTAATATTATAATATATTTTATATAAATATATTATAATTAATCTTTAATAAATTAAAAAAATCTTGAATTATTATTGAAATGTGAAAGAGAAATAATTAATATTGTATATATAATAACAAAACTTTATTTTATTGTTTATTTTGGTATTTGATATTATTAACTTATAAATAAAACAAAAAGAATAAAATAACATATTTGTCTTTATTTAGTAAAAACTTAAACATTAGAAAAACATATATATCTTGCTTTTTAAATATTTGCAAAAAAATTGTTACTATTACATAAAATTACAAAAAAAATGATTACTATTTATCATTAATTGTTATTATGTAAAATTTCGTCTATGCGTATATAGCATACGCATATCAACATTTATTCTCTATTAATATAAATACATGATAGCTACAAATAATATGTATAATAGATAAATGAATTACTCATGAATTATATCTTAATCTTATCAAGCATATATTTTATCAATCTTACCAAGCATTTATTATATTATTGTTAATAAGTTTTTATAGAGAGCTTAAGCGTTCCATGGATACTTCAGACTTGCAAAATACGAAGATAAAAATATTCTTAAACAGTCGAAATTACAATAATTTACTATTAGTATAAATGAATCATATTTATCTATTATCTACAAGGATTATTTTATATTTATTTTTGAATTCTACAAATCCGTGAATCTGTGGAATGCTTAAACCCTTTAAATATGAAATATAATGATATTAATTGATTGGTCAATTGTCATAATATATTTATAAAAATAATTGATAAGTAGTTATTTTATGCTATTAAGCTATGCTATAAATAGCTTATCATATGCTATTTTATATTTTACTATGGACGTTATTATGCATATATAAATAAAATTTCATGTTATAGCAATCTTTTATTATAAAATTTTCGAAAACGAAGATCGATTATTAATTATGTGTCAAAAAAAAATATTATTTAAAATTTTTTTCTTTATAATATATTTAAAAATAATCTAAAAAAAACAAGAAATAAATTTTTGCAATTTTATATTTGCATGCATGTAATATATTATATAAAAAATTTGGAATCTTTAAATATAACAAGCGATTTAAACTTGTTTTAAAAAATAGAGATATTGTTTTTAAAAAATTTGATCACAGAATAAAAAATATAATAGAAGGTATTTTATATTAGGTATCTTCTGATATAAGACTGTGATTGATTATTTGACATTTACTTTAAATCAAAGAATAAAACAGATATAAAATAAGAATTAAAATTTTTATCAAAATTTAAAATTTTAAACATTGGACATACATGTCCTATACCACAAAAACGTACATAATAGAAAGATAATAAATCAATAAAACTTTTATTATGTTAGCTATTTATGTCTGATTTATCTATTTACAAAAATTGGACATATATAAATTTACTTTTTTTTTTAAATTTTTTGAAGATGTACATGGATGCTTTTTATATATATTAGTATAAATATTTTAAATTTTGTTCATTAAATTTATTTCTGTTTATTAATTTATTGCAGAAATTTTTTTATATATAAAAAATTTGAAAATAAATAAATCATTTAAAGATATTGAAATCACAATGACTTCAATATTATGTATAACAAATATTTAATTTTGATTTATAAATTTATAAGCTATTAATTTATAAGTTTTTATTATGTTTTTCCATAATCTAAATTTTATATCTAAGTTTTTATTATCTATAAAAATTTAAATTAAATTATTTTATTATCAAGAAAACAATTTTTATATTTTGTGTAAAACATATAAACATATAATTAATTTTTAAAGATCTTAAATTAAAAGATCTTGAATTATTATTAAGATAAGTTGTTAATAATATTTTTTTAATTGATTATATTATGATCAATTTATTCCAAACAAATTTTAGATGAAGACATACATATTAAAAAACATTAAAATAAAATTTTTATTAGGTCATCTTTATTTATTTAATCAAATAGTTATATATATAATATATACATATATTTTATTAGATATAATCTTTACAATTTTATTTTGCTTATATAATTTATTAAAAAATAAAAAATTGAAAAATTGGACTACTAGCTCTAATTTCTTCTAATCAAAAAAATGACGATTATATAATATATTTTGATAAAATAGAAATGATTTTACTATTTAAGATTTTATTATCACTTTTTTTTCAGTACATATTATCTTATTATTATTTGGCATATTTTGATTATAGTTAATAAATTTAATATGATTTTTATTTTAATTTTTTTACTGTTTTTAAATTTCTTGTATAATGTATTTTTTTAGATATGTTGACATATAAAATGATTTACACAATATACACAATAATAAAATTTTCGACAAAATTGTTATTAGAGATTATTATTGAATTATTATTAAAAGAATTTCTAATGAAAATTATATTATATTTGATTTTATTTTTTCTTTCTCTTCTATCACAAATTAATTTTATTTAAAGTTTCGATTTTAAGATAATAATTACATGCTTCGAATTTCATGCCTGAATTGCATTCAATTTGAATGCCTCGAAATATTTAAAAAAATAAAAAATAAATATCAATTATGAAAATCAATTAAAATTTTTTTTATTATTATAAAAAAGTTTTTTAAAGTATGAAAAGTATGAAATAAATAACTCTATTACAATTATATTATTTTTAAGACATCTAAGTTTTTTACTATTTTGCTTAAAATATTCGCTAAAAAATAATTATAAATAAATAAATTCTTTATATCGTTGATAATAGATAAACCAAATGTGGACAAGAATATTTTCTTTCATGAGACATCTTGTTTTGATGAAAATGGTTTGATACTGAATGCTCGTCAAGCATACGCTATTATGAATCCGCAGCTAAAATGAATCCAAATATGAATGTGTATCTGTTATTCCTTTTTTTTTCTAAAATTTCGAAACAATCAAAAAAAATGTTTGAACAATTACAAGCTTATCCAAATATTCGTATCAGACATGTTAAAATTCAAAATTATATATATATAAAAGACACACCTCTGGATGTATGGTACAGAACTGATATAATAAAGAAAAGTAAATGGCCAAAAATTCAAATGATTGATATTCTGAGATTTTTAACACTTTGGAAATACGGAATATATTTGGATCTGGATCTTGTTGTTATAATGTAAGAATATTTCCACATATTTTACAATTTGTTGCTACATAAATATAAATATCATCTTCAAATTCCGGATAAATCGAAAAAATTCGAATAGAATTGGGCGAACTCATGATTGCTTGATATCCTGAAAATTTCAAGATTTCAAAACTATATCTCGAATCTCAATTAAAATAAATAATATACTTTTGTTTTCAAAAAAATTTTCAATTTATAAATTTTGAATATTGTAAATGAATATTTGTTTTAATGAAATTTTTATAAAATAATTATTATTAAAAACTTTTTTAAAAAATATTCTTGCGAAATAGATATTTTAAAATCTATATAAAACTTTCATGACAACAATTCGGGATATTTAAAAATAATTTTATAAAATAAATAAAACTATGAAATTATTAGATACTAATTTTATTTAATATTATATAATTCAATATTATATAACAATATATAATAATACAATAATATATATAATATATACATAATTATATTATATATAAATATATAATAATATAATATTATATAATATTGTATAATATATTTACATAAAATAAAATATATAGATATTATTTAATGTTATTGTAATATTATTCAATAAATAATATTCAATGTTTATTACAATGTTAAAGAACTTTTTTAATATTGATGAAGTAATATCCGTTCTTATAATGAAAATAAAAAAAAATGTTTTATTTCTATTCTAATTCTATTAATTAGAATATTTCATTCAAATTAAAAATTTAATTCAAATTAAAAATTTTATTTTCAAGAATTTATTTTTATTTATTTCGAACTTATAAGATATAAGATATAATATAATAACTTTTTTAAGATAGTTTTATATATAATATTTATAATATAAAATTGAATTTATAAAGAAATTCTATAACTATTTTGAATCCTGATTTTGAAATGCAATTCTGCAAAAATAAACGTATCGGCATGTAATCGGCTATTAGTTTAAATAATTGAAATTTAGCTATTAATAAGAGATAAAAAAAAATTGAAAATAATATTTGAATATGTTAATTTCGTAATATATAATATAATAATATAGTATAATAATTTTCTGTATAAAAGTATCGACATTTCTAAATATTTCTTATGAATTTTATATTTGATTGATTCATATACGGAACAAAATTAAAATTATTATTATATAAAATTAATTAAGTTATAAAAAAATAACTAAAAATTATATATTATATAAAAATATTAAGATTTCGTATGATCATTTTTTCAACTCATCTCGAAGCTATAATGTTATATATTCTCTAGTTAGAATAAAGTATATAAAATGATCAGTTATATTCAAAAATTTAAGTGATCGATTTTATTAAAATAAAGCTAAAATTAAAATAAAAATAAAAAAATACTATATATTTTCAATTTTATTTTTTCTTCATTTATAATTAAAAGTTTGCGAGCAAGTTAAGATATCATAAATGTGTGTAGAGAAGAATTTCAAATTTCAAAATGATTTTCAAATAATTATAATTATATTATAATTATATATAATTATTATATTATATAATTATATATAATATAATTATAATATATTATATTATATAATAAAATAATAATAAAAAAATATCTTTCTAATAATAATGCAAATATTTTCTAAAATTAAAAATATTAATAATAATTTTAAAACAAAATTATTTTAGAAACGAAAAAAAATTGTTTATTTCAATCTCTATTTTTTTATTTATAAAATAATTTTTATAAAATAAAATAATAAATGTCCTTTATATGTTATTTAATTTTAAAATCACTAACTATTTGAACCAAGCTATATTCGTTTATATAAAAAACTTTATTAAAACTCAAAGATATTTTTTTCAATTTTGTCAATAAAACGGAACCAAAAATGCAATATTTTTGTTCTTGATTGTTGTCTTAATTTAAAGAATCATTTTTTCAATTCTCAGATATTTTTAATCTAACAATCAATAAGTATTAGTTTTAGAATATTGTGAATTCATAACAAATTCTAATAACAAAAATTAATTCATTGATGTTTTTATTTTATTTTTACAGTATTAATAATAATAATTAGAATAACATGACATTAAAACAATGTTTTAAATTATTTTTTAAAAGTAATAATATTTTTACTAATTTTTTAAAATAATAATAAATTTATTATTTGCAAATATAATATATGGTATCAATATTATAAAAAATATTTTTAAGGATATCATGATATATCTTTTTATTATATTATTATTTATTTTATATTATTATATTTTTTATTAAATTGAATGGATCAAAATTTTACATAAATTATATATAAATTAGAATAAAGAAAATTGTATTCTCTGATAAATTATAAATTTTATATTTACAAAATGATTTTTATATTTACAATTTCTAAATTATTTATTATATAAAATATTTATTTTGACAGATCCATTGAACATTTAACAAATTTCGATGGTGCTGAGGATTGGTATAAAGTGGCTGTTGATATTTTGGGATTTGACACTTCAAAATTGGATCGTCACATCGTCAACGAATGCATTCATGAAATACGAAATAATTTTCAAGGTGATATCTGGGGTTATAATGCTCCCAGTGTAGTTACTAGAATGTTAAAACGAATTTGTTTAAAAATGTAATGTATATAATATTATATTACAAATTATTTTTTTTAAATGATATTCGATATAAATTTGAATTTATACAATAATACAGTAACAATAAAAAGTCTATTTCTTAAAAATGCCATAATGGAACAAAGGTAATGTAATTATTTAGAAAAGAATACCGATTTCGATGACTTCTAAATATATTGAAAGGATAAAATTTTGAAAAATTTTTTTCTATATATAAAATAACTACTTACTATAATTTTTCAAATATTTGCAAAAAAAGATTGCTACTATTATATAAAATTTCACTTATGTTTATGTATCCGTATATAAATACATAAGATCATATCAAAAAACTATTTCTTTATAAGTTATAATAATTGAAACATTTTAATCCATACATTCCATAGAAATTATTATATTTATATCTATTTTATAAAGAACTTGAACACTTTATATAAAATTATTTTTCGAATCTTTTAGCAAAATCTTTTGGTTAAAGAAAAATAGATTTTAGAAATAAATAAATATTCATTTTTTTTATTTCAAATGATATAAGATTTGACAAATAAATTTATTTTGAAATAATAATAAAAATATAAAAAATATTTTAAATATGCATTAATACATAAGTATATTTTAATAATAACTCATAAAATTAAATATTTGAAATATATGATAAGAATAATTCAAATAACAATATTTTCATTCTATTCTAATAATAGAATTTTAAATAATAATATTTCAAATAATAATTAAATAAAATAAACTTTTTAACATTAATATACAAATATATTTTTATTAATAATATAATATTTTATTTTATTTATTAAATGATTAAAAATATTGCAAAATAATTTATATATCTATCTATTACTAGTATATTTTATTTGTTTTTAATTCACAGATATAGAGAATAATATTTTAAAAATACTGAATATTATTGCATATATTACTATTTAAAAATAGAATATAAAATACTTGAATTGAAATTACGACACAACTATAGATATTAAATAAATATAAAATTGATATCATTGTAACTACAGTTATTGTAATTTCGATCATATATTATAATTTTAATTGACCAAATGCTATTTTATATATATACGTATAAATATTATATTTTATTTTATTTTCACATTCCAAATATACAGAACATTAATATATTCATGAAACATTTTTGAAAATTTAATTTTTAAGACAACAAACATAAAAATTATTATCTATGGATATTTATAAACTTATAAATAATTTATATTCGTATTAGATAAAAATGGTAATAAAATAAAATATAACAATTTTATTTTTACTATTTCCTTGTTTTGTTTAATGCAAATTGCTTATAATATAAAAATTTGTGAAGATACAAGAAACAAAAATGATTACGAAAATAAGATAAAAAAAAATATCTATGAAATTAATGTTTACGAAATTTTATTAACTATAATTCACTTATGATTAATATCTTTTCACAAATATTCCAAATTTTCTTTTTCTAGACGCATTTTTTTTGTTGTTTTTTATATTTTTCAACGAATGGAAGGAAAAAAGAAGATATTGCGATTATCTATCAGTACTATATTATATTCATATAAAACATTTGAATTTTTCTCGATGTGCCAGACATTTTACAATAATTTAATAAATAAGTCTTAACTGTTTTTATATATCAATTTTTGTATTTGATCTCTGAAATTAAAAGATGTTCCAAAGATGTTCTATATAATATATTATCTAATATATTAACATCTTGTATCATATGGAAAAAAAAAATAATGCCCTTTACAATATTTCAAAATTATTAAAATTAGAAGAAAAAAATCATCACAAACAATAAAAATACTAAAAAAAAAATTCAAATAATAAAATAATAATAAATTAAACAAGATAAATTTGACACAATGAAATGATAATAAGATAATAAATATCCTAGATATAAAGTTCATTAACAAATCTACAATTGAAAAAAGTTGAACAAATCTGTAACTGAAAATAGTTCATGTCAAAAATATATCAGTTTTTGAAATATCAAGATTTCTGATTCTGAAATTTTGGATTTGGTTGGAAAATTTGTGAATGAATCAAATTATTTAATCTTATATAAACATATTTTTGCGTATTTTAATATTTAATTGCGTATATATACAGAAATGGATCAAGATTTGAAAAACTTATATTATGCAATATATAAACTTATTTTTAAAAAAAGAATTAATAGCAATATATATTTAGATAAATAAATATTTTATTTAAATTAGAATATAAAAAAACAAATCTCTTTCATATTCGGTATTAGACCAATGGAATGGGCGATTTTATATAAACTACGCGTGAGCAATTTAATCTAATTTCTCTCCATAAGATTAATGAAATAATATTAATATGATAAAAATAGAATTTTTTTTTATTTTTTTATCTAACATTTATTAATTTTATGATATTTGTAAAATTTACTATAAAATTATTTTGAAATAATAATAAAAATATAAAAAATATTTTAAATATGCATTAATATATAAGTATATTTTAATAATAACTCATAAAATTAAATATTTGAAATATATGATAAGAATAATTCAAATAACAATATTTTCATTCTATTCTAATAATAATACAAGACATAACATATATATAAGACAAAACATATACATAAAATTTTAGCCTTATAAAAAAAATATAAAAATTAAAATTATCAATTTTCCAATCGATTCATTAGAATATATTCAAATAATTATAAATACAATATTGAAAAATATAAAATTAAATAGGATGTATTTTTTTTTTTTTTTTTTTTTTTGCTTATCAACAACAATAAGAATAATAGAATAATAGAAACTTCAAACAAATCACAATTTCGCTTTAATATTTCTTTTTGAAATAAAGTTTTAAATTAACTCATTCGTACTACATTTCATTTATATTTTATCTTTTTGTATCTCCTTTTATAGACTGCGTAATATACTATTTATTAAATTATGCCTCGTATGTTATTTTTTTTTGTTCTCGTTTTACAACTCATAAATTTATTATAATATTATAAATTATATTATTTTATCAATTTTCTTTTAATAATCTCCTATAAATATGTTATTAAATTTAAATCTCGATTATATATCGATCATCTCATTACAGAAAATTTTGAATTTTAAAAACTAATTATACAGTAATAGAATTTCGCAAATATAAAAATTTCAACCTATCTTTAATATTCACTTAATTTATAGATAACAAAAATCATTCATCAAGTCAATTATCATTCAATAAATATGATTTAAATTATATTATATTTATTCTTATTTTATATTAGAAATTTATTGAAATTTTCTTAAAAACAAAAAATTAAAATATATTTAATAAATTTATTAAAAAAAATATAAAAAATATTACTAATTAATATTAATAATTGCATTATTATTATTATTATTTTCTGATATCTTCCTTTTTCTTGTTCTTTTTTTTTTTTAAACATAAAAAATTCCGAATTTCGATTTACATTTATAGATATCAATTTATATATCAAAATAAATAATCAATATCTATGTTACAATTGTATTTATGATAATAAAAAGCAGTTTTAAACTTTTTGAAATTACAAAATATTTATTATAGTTTGAATTATTTATCGATATAACATTAAAATTAAAAAAAATAAAAACAAATATATAAATAAATATATAAAATAAATATATAAAAATATTTATATTTTATCGAGGACATGTCTACGAATCGATGTCAAGACCTTCGTGTTTTTCCTCCTCCAATATTTTACCCGATTCGTTACAATAATTGATCACTATATTTTAAGACAACAAACAATACTGAAATAATGAAAATGATCGAACAAGCAATGACAATTCATGTGTGGAACAAATTAAGCAATGCTGAAAAAGTGGACATAAATAATGATATACTTTATGTGAATGTTGCGAAAAAACATTGTCCAAAGATTTTAAACAATTGTGGAAAATTATTTTAATATTATATATTGAAAACTACATATATAAGGTGTTGGATTATTGGATCATTTGTAAACTGGAGATTTAAATTTCAAACATTTTCCTTTGTAAAAATTTTCGTTATGGCTTTATTAATGAGTTATTAACAAAAAAATACTAGCCAATCACGGAGCGTATAGCTCAGTCAAGCCATGACGATAACAGAAGTTACGTGCTGACGATAAGCACAAACAAATCCAAGCAATATATATCAAAAATGTATCGAATATTATAATTTTTTTCATGATATAATTCGATATAATTTTTTATTGATATAAATAATAATCTAAACATTATTAAAACTATTAAACTATTAACTTGATGAATTGAATGACATTTTGTGCACTTAATCAGAATTCAATATTTCTGTAAATAATAATTTAAATAATGAAAATGACAATTTTAAATATAAACAATATTGATTGATATGATAAATCTTATATGTACTATGATCACCCAGTGTAAATTCTGCTTAAGGTTTCATGTAAATGAAATATAACACTATGTTTACTAAGAGCTGGCACTTCAATGATAATCGTTCAGCTATGCTCTATTCTCATTTCTGATTGGCTATTTATCTAAATTAGAGAAAACAAAAAATAGCACATCTTCAATCAACGAAATTCTACAAGCTATTCGATAGTTGCTAATTTTTTAGTATAATGATATTATACAAATAATCTAACAATAAAATAGATATCGTCTACTTCAATCTGCTTATTGTACATATATAAAAATATTAATTTATTTGTGAAATTGTGCAATATATTTGAAGAATTCAATCAATTCTAAAGTTTTCTCTTTCTGTTCTCATTCTATTCCCACCTCATTTCATTTAACACAAACTTAAATTGTTTATAATTTAATAAATGAACCCTAATTGACATTTTTTATACCAATCTTTTGTGTTTTTGACTTTTAAAATTTATTCTTTACAAATATATTAATATTTTATATATCTATTCGAAATGAATTTTCGGATATAAAATTATATGATCAAAATATATAAAAAACAGAATTTTTTTCAATATATTATGAAGAAAATTAGATATATTATGAAGAAATATTAGAATTAATATGAGATATATTATATCTAAATAAAAAAGAAGAAAGAAAAATTTAAAATTCAATAAGTACTTTCCAAGATAAAAATTAATAATTATATCTCATTTTCATAAAAATAGCAATTAATATAAAAATAATTGATAGTAAGCGATAATGCATTTTACGCTACAATAATATGAATGAAACCTAATATCATCAAAATTTGTCAGCAGATAAAGCACATTTATTACATAATTTCGTTTGTTTATATATGATGTTCAGCTGAATAGATAATATATAGGTAGATAAAGATTCTAAATTATAACCTAATGTATTAATACTATTTTATTTTAATTAAAATTATTTTCTAGGCAATGAGAATTGTAACTCAATTTTAATAAAAATAATTTAATTAAAGAAAAATATAAGTTTTAAAAATAAATTTATTAGAATATTTATATTATTACAAAATAATAAAACATTTATTATGAATTAATGATAAATCTTCATAAAAGTGGACTATATTTGCATCATCTAGAGATTCATAGTTCATGCCTTATACGTTGCTACGAAATTGTTGAGAAAACACAAAGAATGTACGAATTATATATAATCATGTTCATCTATCTTTCGCCGTAATGCGTCAACTAAATTAATTCTTTTGTGTAACGTGTACCATTCGTCTGCACACAATTTCTATAACTTAACCTCTCTAAAATACATTGTGAAGATTTTGTACAGAATCGTGAAAAGAATGGCGGTTGGATCAACAAAAGTGGTACAAGTAACAAATATTGCACCTCAAGCAACGAAAGATCAAATGCAAACTTTGTTCGGGTACCTCGGAAAAATAGAAGATATCAGATTGTATCCTACTATACGGGATGTTGCAGTACCTGTTCAATCTCGTATTTGTTACATAAAATTTCATGATCAGGGATGTGTTGCTGTTGCTCAACATATGACAAATACTGTTTTTATCGATCGCGCATTAATTGTAATCCCTTATCAAAATGGTGACATTCCAGATGAACAGAGAGCTCTTGAATTAACAAATAATGGTACAGTTGTTCCAGGTAAGCAATAATGATATCCAAATTTCTATTCTATTGTTCTTCTAAATTAAACATTTTCAATTTTATGTATATATATAAAAATAAATATAATTAAATTATTTTTTTTTATAGGTCTTTATCCTTCTGAGCCAAAACTACCACCAAATGTTGTAAATACAATAGAAGGAATTCCTCCAAATCATGTTATTACTACTATAGATCCAAAATTAGAGGCAAATGGATTGCCACCTTATCCACATTTACCTGGTCATTTAGATAGCAGAAGAATTGAAGAAATAAGAAGAACACTTGTTCTTGCTAATTTAGATCCATCTGTCACAACTGATCATTTACTAGATTTTTTCAGTAATAATAATGTTGAAGTAAAATATTTACGCATGTGTACCAGAGATTCAGATACAGAACATTATGCATTAGTAGAACTTTCTGAACAAGCAGCTGTAGTTTCTGCATTATTATTGAATGGAAAGTTGCTTTTGGATAGAGCAATTAAAATTTATCATTCAACACAAGCAATAGCGAAACCTGAAGCAAAAAGTAATGAAGCAGCACAAAAAGAGATAGAAGAAGCAATGTCTCGAGTAAAGGAGGCCCACAATTTAATTTCAGCTGCAATAGATCCAATGATTGGGATGCTATCAAAGGATAAACGAAGTCGTAGTGGTTCTCGTAGTCGAAAATCTCGATCTAGATCGAGAGGACGTAGTAGACGATCTAGATCACGTAAAAGATCACGTTCCCGTCATAGACGTTCACGTTCACGTCATCGACGAAGATCAAGATCTCGATCAAAACGTTCTCGTTCTAAAGATCGTAGACGAAAGTCTCCATCTCGTAGGAGAAGTAGTTCTCGTGGTCGACATCGTTCTCGTTCTCGATCTCGACGTTCTCGATCTCGCAGGTCCAGATCTAAATCTAAAGATCGTAAGAAACGATCTCCTCGTCGAAGAAGTCGTTCACGATCTCGAAGTAAACGTTCGAAATCAAAATCTAGACGATCTAGATCTAAATCCAAATCTAGATCCTCAAAATCAAAATATTCTGAAAAATCAAGAGATAAAGATAAAGAAAGGAGAAGTAAAGATAAATCAGATAATTGTAAAAAAAATGATGGCGACAAGGCTGATAAAGAAAAAAGCGAAAAAAAGTCTAATAAAGAAAAGAAATCTGAAAAAGAATCGAAATCTGAAGAAAAAAATAGAAATATTTCCGAAAATAGCGATACAAAGGAGAAAACAGAGTCTGAAACTTAAGTCTTTATAACTTATGATCTATAAAAATTTATTTACATCTCTCGGACATTTTGTTATTTTGATGTTACGATATATCGTAATGTATTGATCAATAAAGAAATACAAGAATGACAAATTTTTGAAGATTATTTTGATTTTTATGTATTTTTATGTACAAAATTGCATATATTAGGTACTAACATAAGTAATACATTATTACATTTATTATATTTTAATTCTTTGTTTTTAACAAATTTAGTAAAAAATAAATATGCATATTTTATAATTCTAATTTTTCTACTTAAATTAAAATATATTTAAATATTTATTATACAAGATTCAATTTTTCTAAACATTTAATATATTTTATGTGTTACATAACTTTCTGATAATATATTTTAAATTTTTTGATAATATATGTAAAATATCATAAATCACTTGCATAAAAAATTTCAAATTATTAAAAAATAATAATTATATTATTAAATTTGTATCGATTCAAAAATATTTTTTATTTAAAAATTTATTTATAATTTATAATTCTTGTCATAGACGTATATAGTAATAAATAATAATTAATTTAATAATTAATTATATCTTAATTTTTTTTTTTATATTATAATTTTGAAATATGCGCCATTTATCCGAGGGCAGCACTAAGTAATAATTGAGGAACCAATGATTATTGTAAGTTCTTTTCAATAACTCTTTGTATATTTGTATATTTCATGATTAAAAGCGAAAACTAATCATGGTATTGCAATCTTCAAGATATCTTAAATGATAGATAGTGACAGACGAATTAATCTTTAATGTAGTTTATTACAAATTAAAAAAGATTTAACAATAAAATATATTGATATATTGATTACATTATATGAGATATTTATAAAATTGATAATAATATAAATTTAAAATTTTTACATATCATGAAAAATAACACAACGATATAATTCATGAAATGATCAAAAAATTCTAATAAATTTTTATATATAACATTTATAAAAAATTTTCATTTTAAACATCATTTTTTTTTATATCCAGTAATTCTACAATACGAAGTTAAATGGTGAAAATGACATCTATAGATGAAGGAAAATTAAAACAAAGTTTATCAAAAGTATGTATACTATCATTTATTAGTATATATGTACTATAATATTAATGTATTTTTTTAGTGATACTTATAAAATGCATTTTATTTTTTTAGTACCAAAATTCTGATATTACAAAAAAACATGTCATAAAAGTTCTGAATCTTTATAAGGGTTTAAAATATAATGTAGAACCATTTGGTAAGTATTATAAATATATATTCTTTAAGATTTATTTATTTATTTATTATTAGTTTTTATAACATATAATGATATAAAAATAAATATAAGAAATATATATTTATTTATAGTTTATTTATTTTTATTATATTCTTATTTTAGTATTTAATGACGGATCACGTAAAGAATTGTTTAATTTACAAGGAACAATACCTGTATCTTATAAAGGTAATATATTTTAAAATTTTTTAAAAAACATTTATATAAGATCAATATTAAAATAAATATTATTAAAATATTTTTAGGTAATTATTATAACATTCCTATATGTATATGGCTTATGGATACACATCCTAATAATGCACCTATGTGCTATGTCAAACCTACTGCAGATATGAGCATTAAAGTTAGTATGTTTGTTGATCATAATGGAAAAATTTATTTACCATATCTTCATGATTGGTTACCAGTAAGTAATTTGTATATAATTATATGTTATTATCTATTATATATTTTTTATAATTCTATTTTTATTATGTTTAGCATTCATCTGATTTACTTAGTTTAATTCAAATAATGATTGTAACATTTGGAGAACAGCCACCTGTTTATGCTAAACCACGACAAGGTATACAAACAACAAGTTCTACACCTTATCCTGTACAGCGTGAGTACTTATTATTTATAATTGTTTATATTCTTATAAAAAAATTAGATCTTAAAAACTATAAATTTATATAGCTTTCATGTCTATACCTGGAAGTGGAACACATATACCTGGTTCTAGTTTTTCATCATATCCTCAAAACTCACAATATACAGGTGGAAATAATATTTATCCTCCATACATGTCTACAACATCTTCTGGATTTCCATATCAAGGTTATGGTTCGTATGGAGGAACTGCATCAAATTATCCATCACAAAGTTGTACTGGTTCTTTTCAATATCCTCCATCAACACAACCAGTAAGTTATAACTTTTAATAAATAAAAAATATATTTCATATAAATATTTATTTCTTTTTATAATTTCAAGTCTCCAACAGTACCTGCTACTGTTGGTGCATCAGGTACAATTACAGAAGAACATATTAGAGCTTCATTATTATCAGCAGTAGAAGATAAATTAAGACGAAGACTTAAAGAACAATTTTCACAATTGTCAGCTGAATTAGAAACATTACGTAGAACACAGCAAGAACTTACAAGTGGATCTGCTCATCTAACAGATTTGTTTGATAAATTAAAAAAAGAGAAAACTGAACTTGAAAAAAATATTACTATACTTCAAGATAAAGAAGCTGAATTGGAAAAAGAAATTGCAAAACTTTCTGACAATCAATCAATAGATGTTGATGAAGCTGTTACAACAATCGCACCACTTTACAAACAGTATGTATTTAATTATTTATTTAATTATATACTTCAATATCATAATTATTTTTTAAAAATTATAATTATAGAATGTTAAATGCATTTGCGGAAGAAGCAGCCACAGAAGATGCTATCTACTATTTAGGCGAAGCTTTACGTTGTGGTATTATAGATTTAGATGCATTCTTAAAACAAGTACGACAACTTTCACGCAGACAATTTATGCTAAGAGCTCTTATGCAACGCTGTCGTCAAAAAGCAGGATTGGCTGGTTAAATATTTTACTCAATTTTTATCAAGTTGTGCTATTCAATATTTTATTTTATTACAAACAATATACGCAATACGAACTACATAAATCCTATAAAGATATGTTATAGAAAAAAATATCTTCGTTATGGAAACATTAAATGCTGCATATACAATATAAATTTTGTTTCATGTTATATACATTTTGTTTATAACAAAGGACAAACAAAGTTTTTATATACAAAAATTAACAAAAAATATACACACACACACACATACGTATAAAATAAGGTTTATAAAGGCTTTAAATAATTACATAAAAATAAATATCTTTGTTTTACAGAATTATATTGTTTTACAGAATTATATTTTTAAATGTATTTATATATTCTTATTTAAAAATATGTAAAAAATGTGTACTTTTTAATTGATTTTTTATATTATAAAAAAAATTGTATTTAAAATAGTGATTTTAAATGTTAAGAAATACAAATGCTTATTACTGTGTGATAAATATGTAGATTAATCATTATAATTGCATGATTTAGTAAAAATACATTGTTTTTATTCTTATATTTATATAATATTTATATAATTTATAGTATTAATTAATTATTAGTATTATTAATCGATAGTATTAATTAAATGTTATTTCATAGTTTTAAAATTAATTTTTTTCATCTATAAGATGAATCTGAAACAAAAAAATAAGATTTATATATATCAATGTATTATTTAATTTTGTTGATTTAAATTTTTATAAAATAATGTACCTATACATAAATTCCAACCCAAAGAAGTAAAAATAATATACCAAAACCAGAAAATAATGCTGCCACTAAAGAAATTAATAATTCTTTGAACATATCCCTTGTAAATTTTGTGCTAGTAACTTCATATACAAAAAACCATGCTGTAAAGAATATTCCAATTCCCAGTAATACCACTGCCAATAATGGAAAAATTGCAGGATTAATAGGAGAGACATATCTTGTCATGGATTCAACTTCCACCTAAATTTAAACAAAAAAAATTTATTAAAAAAAAAAGAATTACATAAAATATATATATTAATATGTATTATTTTCGTAAAACTTATATATATATATAAATCAGTTTTTAAATTTCAAGATAAAAATAATATATAAATATAGTTATAATATATAATTATACTTCTTACGTAGAATAAAACTTTTTACATAAAAATAGAAGATACACATAATTATTATCAATTAAAAAACATGTTAATAAAGTTTTGAAAACTTATGATTCCAGTCAAAAAATGGAATGAAAGTCCAAATTATTAAAGTAAGATTATAATTATATAATATAAAAAAAAACTAAAATATTATAACTAATATAATAAAGAAATAATAACTAGTTATATAATCGATATAAATCTTTAAGATAAAACAAATAATATTTACCATTGTATCAAATAAATATTTTGACGTGGCTTAATGGACGTAAAACTTACACGCGATTAGCAACAAATACGCAATCATATGCTGCAAACTTCAATATAATATATATTCATGAAGTAAACACAAATAATTACCAACAGTAAAAAATTGAAATTACTAAATTTTTGAATATAAGAATAAATTACAAATATTTTTATATGAATTATATAATAATAATTATATAAATAAAAAAATATTAATATTAATAATTTATCGAATTATACTTTATTAATGTAATAAAAAAATAAATTTTATACAATATTTAATTTTATAACTAAGAAAAATAAAATTTCTTATATGAATCTTTTAAATAATTAAAAATTTATAATAATTAACATATTTTTTAATATAATTATATAAGAAATATAATATGCGCGATGAATTTGAATGATTTTAAAATATTTTTTTAATAAAATATCATTTCTATAACAAATATATTTGTTGAAGATAAATTTATTTTCAACAAATATTATATTTTTTTATTACATATTTAATATAATAAAATATTTTTTCTGGCAATATTTAATCAATATTTATTAAAAATATATTTGATACAAATTATACGAAATATTTCTTGAATATCAATTTTAAAGTTTTAACTATAATTGTTTCAAAATCGAAATATGTTTGTCACCATGATATGATTCAGAACGCATAATATAGTATATTTCCAATCTTTATATTCTTTGATATCTACAATCAATTTTTGTACGTACTATGATAAGTTTTATATATTAAATATATATAAATATATAAATATATAAATATATATATAAATATATATAAATATTATAGACAATATAATATTTTTTGATATTTCTAAAGAAGTTAAATATTTTTATAATTCCATAAATAATTTTTTAATAATAGATAATTAAATTTGCTGTTATTAATCTATTTTTTTTCCAATATTAATAAAATGTATTTTTATAAAATTATTATTTACAGATAAAACATGGCAAAAAATTCTTTATCGGAACAATTTTCCTTAAAATGGAACAATTTTTCTAATAATTTAACATCTGGTTTTCTAAGTCATCTTACTGAAAATGATTTAGTTGATGTTACACTTGCAGTAGAGGGTCAGTTGTTACAAGCACACAAATTGGTTCTTTCAGTATGTAGTCCATATTTTAAAAATATATTTAAGGTACATAAATTTTATTTTAATATTAATTCATTAATATTATTTTTTATATTTAAAATATTTATAAGTAATAATTGCTCAGAAAAAAACTTCTTAGAATTGCTTTGTAGGAAAATCCTTGTCAACATCCAGTCATTATTCTCAAAGATATGAAATATGCTGAAATTGAATCATTGTTAAAATTCATGTACCAAGGTGAAATTAATATTAATCAAGAAGATTTATCTACATTTTTAAAAGTGGCACAAACATTACAAATAAGAGGATTGACAACAGAAGATACAAGTAGCATATCATTTGCTAATTATGATCAATTAGATGCTGATTCTTTTACTCAAAATATTGTTCAATCAAATTTGACTTCAATAAATGAGATTTCCAAAGATATAAATATGATAGATAGAAGAAAAAGATCCCGTGATATAACAAAAAAAGGTTGTAAAAAGAAAAAACAAGATGCATTATTAACATCAGAGAACATTCATGATGCATCTAATAAAAAACTAAATAATGATAATCAAGAAGTTTTATTTTTAATGAATAACGAAAACAATGATACAAATGATATCATAGAGGAAGAAAATATTTCTACTATAAAAAGCAATAATAATGATAAAAATGAAGATACTACCCTAGTATATTATCCTTTTCCCTTGGATATTAAAAATTCACAAAAAAATTCAACTGAACAAGGTAAAAAGATGAGTAATTTAAAATTATAATAAAAATTTGTAAATTATAGATAATAAATTAAATAATTGATTAATAATATGTTTATATTATTGTTTATAATAATATGTTTATATTATATTATTGTAACATTTCAGATGTTGAACCTGTAATTTATAGACTTTCTGCACGAGGTCGACCACAATTAGTGCATGAAGGTTATGTTTATAACTTGACATCTCGCTCTGAGGGTTTGAATAGATCTCATTATAGATGTGCTGAACAACATCGTGGATGTAAAGGTAAATGTGCAGTTATTGCTGAAAGATTTATGCCTACAGGTGTACATGATCATAATCACCCACCTGGATATCAATCAGAACATGATTATAGAAAAAAGAAAGGTTTAGATGTAGATATTTTTTAAATCATAAATATTTTAACTTATAAATATAGAAAAAAAATATAGAAGAAAAAAACACTTTATTATTTTCTTATTATAATTTCAATAAAAATAAAAAATACTATTCAAATAATATTGATACATAGAATAATATATAACAATAGTTTTCAATAATAAATATAATATTTTTAAATTAAAAAATATTGTTTTACAATTCTGTATAAATAATAAAAATTAGTTAAAATATTACAATAATTGATAAAAATATGTGATTTCTATTGCAAAAGTTATAATTATAACTATGTATAAAAATAATTTATATAAATTATTATATTTTAATTAACTGTGATGCACTTTAAGGTATATAAAGAAAACAGTTTAAAAAATGTGATGTGAACACATTCCATTTAGTATTATATTTGCATTAAAGCCAAATAAAAGTATTTAATTTATATTATATATTTACATATAAAACATTATTTTTCATGTAATAAATATAATTGTTTTTTATAGTATATACATAAATGTAAACATGTATGTATGTATGTACATATGTACATATGAATTGAATGTTCTACTTACTTTTATTTTGTATAAAAATAATTTTTATATAACTTATCAGAAAGAATAAATTTTTTAGTGTATAAAATAGAAATTAAACAAATAACATCATTAATGGTATAAAAAGTATTAAAAATTATAAAAAAATTTATTTTTATACTATTTTATAAATTTTCGTTTTTGAATTATTGAAAAATAATTGTCAGAATTAATGTGATAATGATTATAAATCATTTAATTTAAAAGAAATTGATTTTATAATTTCATTTGTAAAAATTTATAAATATATAAAAAATATAGAAATAATGCATTTTTTCATAAGCATAGAAAAATTGTATGAACAATACTGGTTAAGACAAAAATTAAATAATAAGGAATTTGTTTCACAATTTTACTCAAATCAATCTCACATCCATGAAATTCATTTATTCGAACTGCATGTTTATTTTTAATTAAAATGTTAATATCGTCTAGCCATCTTCTTTTCCAACTTCCGTTGCTTCTTCTCACTAACCTCAGATTGTTCTGGAGCTGGAGCAAAAAACCATGGAGCTAATATTTGTTTCCATAGCATCCAACCTCCTCTTAATGGTACCTATTATAATAATTCAATGTAAACATTTTATGATCTATTTAAACATATTATATAAGTAAAAAATTGAGAAAAGTATAAAAAAATATAAGAAATGAACAAATTATTTTAAATTGTTTTATAATTTATTAAAAAGTGTATTTTATAATCATATTATTTATTTCATTAAGTAAATAATACTTACAAGAAGCCATAGCAACCAAAAATAATTTGATATGAGAGAAAGTACTTGTACTCCAGAAGTTAATATAATTAAATCTTTTATATGTCTAAAATATGAAATGAAAGTGTTATTATATTTAACAAATTTGTTAATATATAATAAAGTATTATATTATTTATTAAGATTATTGAAATATTTTGTGATATTTACTCTGCTATACCTCCTTCCATATTAAGATCAATTCCAGAATCTAAAAGCTGACCAGATTCTGAATATGTTGCATGTGCTATATATTTCATAAATTGATAACTTCCTATATATATAATTCCAGAAAATATGGTTAATGTCTGTAATTATAATATATTGCTAAGTATAATATGTTGCTAAACATGCATAAAGATAAAAATAATATTTCAAATATAAAACTTACGGTTGCTAATGTTGTAAAATTAAAAAATAACATTGTAACCATAAAGTATATTCCTATTGCCCCAATGATCATATTCTGATAAAAATTCAATGTTATTTTATTCTCTTCGACTATCTGTTTTGCTCCTTTAGTTGCTACTTTAGTTTTCTTACTCTAAAAATATAATAAATGTCATTATTTATTATTTATTTTATTAGAAATAAAAAACTTAAATTTATAAATATTAAATTTATTATTTAATTACATATTATAAATCATTATATGGAAATAATTGTAAATTCAGAATGGTTAAGTGACAATAAAAAAAAGAATATTTTAAATAATAATTAAATAATTTACCGTCATTTTGTTTGTAAATTATAATACATAAAATATTTAATATTCTAATAATCTAATTAAATAATATTTATTATTATTATTAATATTTAGTATGAGACAAATTTAATCTTATTAAATATGTATTCAAAAACACTTAAGGTTTGTTAAAGCCACGTGAAAGATGTCATATAATAAAAGTCTCTAGGTTAACATTTTGTGATTCATAATTTAACATAAATTCTTAAATTTTGATAGTCATCATTTATTGTTTTTTTAATTGTTTAAAACTTCAAATTTTATTTTTTATTAAATTTTTATAAATAATGCGTGAAAAAATGCAATAAATTTCTTAAAATTATATTATATTGATTAAAATTTACAAAATTCATTATATTGACATAAAAATAAAAAAAATTATCAATTCATAATTTTTATTAAAATATTTCCTAAAATTTTATTATTAAATTTATGTAAATATAAAATATAAAATACAAATTTTTAATTATATATTAAAAATTATTAATATTTCTATTTTTTCGAAATGCAGTTTTACTTTGTTATATTCTAATTAAATAAAGAATTTTTATTTCCGTAAAATAAAAATATTAATATATAAAAAAAAACTATTATACTTAAGCTATTATATTTAATAATTTTTTTATTTACTTTTCATTAATTAAGCAAAAGGAGAAAAAATATTGCCATACATTATTTTTTGTTTTATTATTACATATTTGAAAAATATAAAATTAAATTAAATTTAAATATTATATTATTTAAAATTTTATTGACAAAAAATATATATTAGATAAAATAAAAAAATATATATTAGATAAGATTAAATATTAGATATTTTAACTACAATATATGATTTATATTGAATTAATTATTTCAAATTTGAATTTAAGTTTCATTTAAATATATTATATTGAAGATATATTGCTATATATTTATAACTTTCAATTAAATTTATTTTATTTTTATTAGTTAAAAACATGTTATATAAAGATATTTTTTTAATCTATTCATTTTATTGTCTTATTAAAAATTTTTATTAGATATTTAGATATCACTATTATTGGTGCTGTTATCCTTCAATTTATTAGTAAAATAGGTTATGCTATAATATAATATCTGGAATCAATGTAATAATATATCATAATAATTTACACGATCTTAATATAAAAACACGTGATATGTCTAAATAAGAAAGAGAATGAAAAAATCGAATGACGTTAGTACTAAAATATATCAGAACGAATCAAATCGAAACGATCAACTAAAATTTTAATTTTAGCAAAAGAATTTTAGTAAAATTATTGAGCATTAAAAAATAATATAAGCAATTAAAAAATAAAATAATCAGATCTTTAATATATAAAATAAAACAATTGGAAAAAGTTAATTTCACAGATTGAAATGCTATTATCGATCAAAAAAAAATAATTCTAATTTTCATCGAAAGAAATCACCGGTTTAAAATGTATACTTTATAATCAATAATGATATTCTTTAAATTTAGAAAATCTTATAAGTTTTGCTTTATCATTTTCCGAAGGAGAATTCAAGACTATATAATATTTGATGGTAAATATTAATCTTCAAAGAACAAAACACTAAAAAACATAGTAAATATATATTCCTATCATGACTTCTTTTCCTTCCTACTATTTTAATACAATATAAAATGATATATTTTTTTTTAATCTATATTTCTAAAATGATTTTTTAAAATATTCCTATCATGTTTGTAAATAGTTTTTATTTTTTTATACATAATTTAATGATTTAATTATTTAATTATTTTTTATTTTTTATAATTTCTGGAGATAATAAATTACAATTATCATATAATTTTTAATTTTTCATATATATAAATATATAAATATTTTTATATTGTATGAAACTATATTATTTTAATTTGTAATATTATTTAAATTTTTATAATTTTACTAATATTTTGTTTTAATTTTTATTTAATTATAATACATTATAGATATCAATGTATTTTAGGTTTCCTATGCTGTGAATTTATAATGTGATTATTGAAAATTTGTTTTTATTCCACAAGATTATGACTATAATCATGTAGAATTTAGTATAAAGAAGATGATGCCTCATTTTGTAGCTCTGACACCCATAAGAAGAAGATGTTTAATCATACTTTCAATAATATTAGTACCATGCGCCATTCTAAATCTTTTATCACCATCAGAGTTGCATGAAGAAACAATTTTACAAAATAGTATTGCAGAATTACAAGCTAAATTGGAACATTTACATGCTAAATATGTTACAAGTCAAGAAGAAATAAATTTGTTATCACATCAATTATTCCAATTAATAGAAAACAATCACATTTTGCCAGATCTTCAATTTCTACTTAACAATGCTACATCAAATGTGACCAATATAAAATTACCATCAATATATAATTTTCTTCCTCATTTTTTAAATGATCCTAATAGTCTACGACCAGCATTTGTACAGACTAAAGGTCGTAGTGGAGTTAGTATGGTCCTGGGTGTTCCAACAGTTAAAAGAGAAATTCAGAGTTATTTAATGGCCACACTTAAGAATTTATTGGATCGTATGAATCCTGTGGAAACAGCAGATACTTTAATTATTGTGTTAATTGCTGAAGTAAGTATTTATAGGTTGCTTTGTTCAATACTACACTATAGTATACTATAACATTGAATTTGAAGAGAAATAAAAAATATTTTTATAAAAGTTATTTGATATAAACTATACTACATATTTTTATAATGTTGCTATGTATTATTCAATTTTTGACTAAATTTTTCTAATATAGAAATAATATTAATATTATAACAAAGATACATTTATAAATTAAATATTTATAATATTGAAATTATTGTCACAATACTAAACAAAATATATAATGATATTATTTTGAAAATATAAAATGTATATTTTGATTATAAATTTAAATATTTGTTTTTTTGTAGAATAAAAAAATTTGTATAAATGAATATTTGATAATATCTATATTAAATATTAACAAAGCAATTTTAAAAATTTAAAATAATTTTAAAAATTTTAATTTATTTTTATCTATATTATTTTTATATATTTTTACAGACAGATTTGGAATATGTAACATATGTTGCAAAACAAATTGAAGTTCAGTAAGTTATATTTAAAAAATTAATTGTATTCAGTTATTTCTTAATATATCTAATTTATTTTTCATTTAGATTTCCAGTTGAATTTGAGGCTGGTGTAATTGATGTGATATCTCCATCTATATCTTATTATCCAGATTTATCTAAATTACATGATACTTTAGGCGATGATCATCAAAGAGTAATTTGGAGATCAAAGCAAAATTTAGATTTTGCATTTCTTATGTCATATGCTCAGACAAAAGGAACATTTTATGTACAATTAGAAGATGACATATTAGCCAAAAAAAATTTTATAACAACAATGAAATCTTTTGCATTACAAAAAATTGCAACTAAAGAAAATTGGTTTGTTTTGGATTTTTGTCAATTGGGATTTATTGGTATGTTATTAATAAATTAATTATATATAAAAATATTTCTGAATTTATTTTATATTTATGATTTTTCTTTTTAGGAAAATTATTTAAATGCGCAGAATTGCCATGGTTGATTCAATTTTTTTTAATGTTTCATAATGATAAACCAGTTGATTGGTTATTAGATCATTTAGTATCAACTAAAGTTTGTAGTCTTGATAAAGATAGTGTAAGTATATTACACTTAATAATGAATTAAAAAGTAATGCATTTTAATAAATATTTTATGTATTTATATCTATAAATGTCATATATATTTCAGAAACATTGTAAAATGGCTAAAGCAGAATTATGGGTTCATTATAAACCTTCTCTTTTTCAACATATAGGAACACATTCTTCATTAAAAGGAAAAGTACAAAAATTAAAGGTACATCAAAAAAAAAAAAATTATTTTTGTATTCTTATATATTTTATAACTATAATATATATAATATATATGTTATGTTTAGGATAAACAATTTGGAAAAATAACATTATATTATGCACATGAAAATCCAGAAGCAATAGTAGAAACACAAATCAAACCATACAAACAATATACATTACAAAAAGCCTATAAAGGTGAATCATTTTTTTGGGGTCTTTTGCCACAACCTGGAGACCATTTAAAATTTAAATTTTCTCATCCTATTTTTATAAAAAGGTATTTTAAACATGATATTTTACATAATAAATAATTATAATGTCATTATATACAATTTTTATAATATAGGTATTTATTTAGAAGTGGCAATCCTGAACATCCATCTGATAGGTTTTATAATACTACAGTAGAAGTATTTACAAAAATATCTGCATTTATGAATAGAAATAGTAATGATATTACAGAAGACGGTTATATTATTATAGGTATATAATTATTATATAAATATATGATTTTACAATAAATTAATAAATTTTTTATTATGAAATTAGGGAAATTTGATGCACTTGGGATTGCTCAAGGAACAGTAGATCCAAAGTTAGGAAAAATATCAATACTTCGTTTAACTGTACACAGTGAAAGTGAAAATTGGGCTATTTTATCGGAGGTAATATTTATCAATAAAAAATATTTTTAAAAGATATTATAAATAAAATTTAAATAGATTTTTATATTTATTTATTTATTTATTTTTTATTTTTTTTATTTTTATTTTTTTTTTTTATTTAACAGATTCACATAGTTGAAGATCATCCTAGTTGACCTTCAGAAAAAATATTTCGAAAATTTTTTCGACATTATTCACAGGGATAAAAAAGATAAGTTAATTATTAAATTATTTTTAGTTTTATTTTTATGTCATTGTGTTTTGATAGATTATAAATTAAAAATTATTTTTCACCGTCCATTATAAAATATCATTTATACATTTTTATCAAATATAATTTTGATCTAATCATAAACTAAATGTAAAAAAATTTTATCTTTAAAAGAATCTCATTAATTATATATATATATATATATATATATATATATATATATATATATATGTATATATATATATAATCATATATGTATAATATAACAATATAAATTAGGTTTTTTATTAGTAAAAAATGTTATTTTTTTTCTAAAATCAGTTTTAGAATAATTTATGAAATATTTGACCAATTTTATCAATTTCTAATCAAAACCGTACCTGCATAGTCAATATGTATTATTTCATTTATTAAAAGACACCACTTATAATTTTATATATTTTTATAAATCTAAGAATCTTTGTTATGATAATTTTTTGCACAAGGTAATTAATATGAATAAGAATTTCAATTACTTAACATGGCGATAAATATAAGTGCTAGATTATTTTAAGAAATATTAACATCAACAAATAAGTGATTTGTCTTTTCGTAAAGGAAAAAAATTGTTGAAAAATATATACATTTGTAATATGTGTAATTATGTGCAATTTATATACCTTCTGTAATATATTATTGAAGATATAATTTTAAAATCTAGATTCAGATATAGAATTTATACTGTTCTCATATATGTATTATTTATTTTATATAGCTTCTTACACACACACACACACACACACACGCACGCACGCACGCACGCACACACACACACACACACACACACAAAGCATACACACGCGCGCGCGCGCGCGCACACAAATATATATATATATACACACACATGTATATGTATTTTCATAAAAAATAAAATATATTTTTTTGAACATTAAGATATAATTTTAAATAAAATTTAAAATTTAATTTAAAATTTAACTGTAAGTACTGTATATTATTAAGAAATTATAATAATTTTTTAATAATAATTACGCATACTACATACAGATTAAATCAATTAAAAATTAATTATCTTTTTATAAAAATTATTCTATTTGTGGAAATAATTATATTCTTAACGAAACAATTACTCTGTATGGCTTAGGACTAATAGTAGTTCCATCAATAAAATGTTCTATCGTTGGTTTCTCCTCAGGTATTTCGGAAAATGTGAATGCTTGCAACAATGTAGTAGCTATAACAAATATGTTGGTTTTTGCTAAATTTTCCCCCATACAGCGATGTTTTCCTATGATAATAAAATATCATATTAAAACATTAACCAATTATATAAAACTGATTCTATTCTATATTAGTATACCTGCACTAAATGGAAGAAATTTAGATGGTGTAACAATGTTACCACTTTCATCTATGAATCTTTCTGGTCGAAAGTTTTCGGGATCACCCCATGATTCATCCATTAATATTCCATTGAAATTTGTTATAATTGTTGTATTCTAGAATAATGTGAATTATATTATTTCTTAGTTTAATTATTTTATATCCAATATTTCATTATTAGATACTTACTTTTGGTATTTTGTAACCTGATATTGTAGTATCTTTTTGTACTCTATGTGGTAAATTCAAGGATCGGCCTACAAACATCCTTAAAGATTCTAAGACAATAGCATTCATATATGTCATTCTAAAATAAAATAAGTATTATATGCAGAAGATATTAATTAACAATATTAATCTGTTTAAACATTTTTTAACTTACTTTGCTTTGTCTTCCGCAGTTGGAAGTTTATTGCGTCCAATTACTCTGTCTATTTCTTCGTGTGCTTTCTTCTGGACATGTGGAAACAGAACTAAATACAAGAAACAAAAACCAAGAACTTTAGATGTAGTTTCTGAACCTGCCATGAATAAATCCACACAAATGGCTACCAATTGAGGCTCTGAAATATCTCAGTATAGGTACAACTGACATAACTTAAATTTTAAAATATTGTAATGTTTAGATACCTGAAAATGTTTTGCCATAATTTTCAGAATTCAAAACAGTTAGATATATATCTATTAAATTTCCAGGTGAGTCCGAATTAAAAGTATTTTTATGATTATTCACTTCATCCTATAATTACATTACTTAATTTCTTTTATTCAATTGATTTAACATAGATAGTAATAGCTTACTTTGAAAAATTTCCAAAGTTCTTCATGAATTTTTACAAATGATTTGTACCCAGATATTTCTGGTGCAATGAATCTCAATAAGGGAAAATGACTAAATGGTGCGCCTAACATATCAATTTCATTAAGAATTATTGACAGAATCCGTTGAAAATAAATTAACTCCTTATCATCAATATTGTACCTGAATTTGATATGTCAAATCAATTTGTTATTATATTAAAAAATTATTTGATTCTTTAATGAATTTAAATTGAAATGAATAGTAATATATTAAAACAATAGAAAACAAACAACCTTTTACCAGCTAACATTTTCCACAATGAATTAAGCACAGTGATTCCAAAAATGTTATGCATTGAAATTATCGTTCCAGGTTGAGTCATATTATTTCTTGTATATTCATTAGCATTCATGTATAAATCTGAAGCTTTTAATTCTTTTTCATTGATTATGTAATTGTTTATTAACTTTGTCTTATCTTTTTTGTTTTTTTTAACTAATTTATATATTTGTCCATCATTAAACTCATTATTATTATAATATATTTTAGATTTGTTAATTTGGATATTATGCTCATCATTGATTAATTTTTTGATATATTCAACGAGTGATTGACTCTCCTCTATTATTATTGACATCATACTTTGTCGACCAAAGCCGAAATCACGGAGATGTTTCAATACGAATCTTCTTTGTTCAGTCCATAAATTACCATCAACGAGAAGTAATCCTTAAATCGAAGAAATACAAATATAATTGATTAAATAAAATTAAACATTTGGATGAAGTTCAAGAAAAATTATCTCTTTTCTTCATTCAAATCATTTCGATGATTTCTTGAAATCTCGATATTATCTCGAGATATATTAGGAAATGTTAGAGAAATCAAAATTTTTAATTTTTTATATTATATAAAACCCGGCAATTGACTTTAATTTTCGAAATATTTGTAAAAAAAGAATGCTATTATTACATAAAATTTTATCTATAAATATATATCTGTGATTATTTATATATACATGTATGTAAATGTGTACATAAGCATAAAATTACCATTTATCTTCTGTATTTATTCTATCTTATATAAATATATATTATATGAATATTACAATATCCTATTAGGAACACTAACTCTATTATTAAAATATATAAAATATTATATTAAAAAAATTTTTAAATGAACTCCTTCTCAAGAATGAACTCAATTTTTTGATTTTTTTAATATGAAAAATTGAAAAATTTACACTAAGAATTATAATCCATTATTGTTGATATCCATATATCCAGAATTATATTACCATTAATTGTTAAGCGAAATTATTGTTGCAACTGATATATTTAAAAAAATAGAAACATTATCTTACAACTTTGTATAACAGTGTATAATTCATTATTTTTATCAATAATTATTCGAAATAAGGAGATCTTCATTGATTTTGATAATTTTTAGATATATTAGGACAGATATAGAGGATATAAGATTATATAAGATTATATAGATTATATAGATTATATAGAGGACAAGATTTTTAACTTTTTTTTTTTGCATATTACTTACATATCGCTCAATCTTGGATTTCGAAATAATTTCGAAAATTTGCAAAAAAAAATTGTTGCTATTTTATAGAATTTTTCTTATATATACATTTATGTGCATAAATCAATAGTTTCCACTTATCTATTATTTCTATAAATAAATTGTAATAAATTGATATGTCTTTATGATCTATAGTGGGCTTAAAATTAATAAAATTGAAATTACAACGATAAGATAATAAAAATAATGCTAATATTTATTGTAACTTCAATCATTTCGGTCGTCTAAGAGTTATTTTATATTTTATTTTTATTTTGCAAATCTAAACAAATGTCTAAACTTGGCATTATATTTGAGATATTTTTAATCCATAATCCATGAGTAAGTAGATTTTTGACTATTTCATTTGTTATACGCCTTAATTTAATATCGTCATATGTTTATATTAACAAAAAATAAGTGACAATCTCACGTTTACGCATATGCAGTTACATATATGTATACGAAAAATTCTATTCTTATATAATATTATTATATAATATTCTTATATAATAATAATTTTTTTTGTAAATATTTTGAAAACAAAGGTGGTAGGAAAATGCAAAGGAAAAAGTTATTCAAAATGTTGATTTTTACAACATAAAATTAAAAAATCATCAAAATTAACAATGATCTTACTATTCCAAATAATTATTATTTTAGACATATCAATTTATTACAATTTATTTATAGAAATAATAGATAAGTGGAAACTATTGATTTATGCACATAAATGTATATATAAGAAAAATTCTATAAAATAGCAACAATTTTTTTTTGCAAATTTTCGAAATTATTTCGAAATCCAAGATTGAGCGATATGTAAGTAATATGCAAAAAAAAAAAGTTAAAAATCTTGTCCTCTATATAATCTATATAATCTATATAATCTTTCTTTGATGAAATTGATTTTTTCATTAATGGCTTTCGACTGCTTGAGTTTTCGAAAATAATAATCTTAGTAATGTTTTTTTTATTACAACTTGCTAATATTATTTGGAGATCGAGATCATAAAACATTGAATAATATTAAAAAATGAAAAATCTATTAATTAGTATATCTTAAAGTATATCTTTAGAATCTCGATTAAGTTAGCTTATCTTTTTTTTTTTTTTGCTGGAAAGTGATTATAAGATTATACTTATCCCTAAGCTGAATCAACTTTATATATATTAAATCAAAGAAAATCAATCTTATATTCGATAAGATTTGTTATTTAATAATCTCTTCGATCATATAATGGAAAGTTATTGCTGAAGATATTCAAAATATTTAGTTTTTTCCTTCATGTTTTTGAAATCAGCTAAACGAAACTTAAAATTAATTTCTAATTGCAAAATAAAATTAATTTCTCTAAATTTTGATTATGCTTTAACTTATAATTTCCTTATTTTTCCTTAATTTCAACAACAATTTCAACAATTATGGAGAAATGTTCATTTTTGTATTAAAAAAAATTCCAAATCAATTAAATATACAGAATAAAATATTCAAGATCATTATATTTTGAAACACAAAATGTAATATTATTTTATGAAGAATCTAAATTTCTCTTGTTAAAACATTTATTACTTCATTAATTAATAATCTAAAAGATTACTATTTGAAAGATATTCAACATCCAAATTAGAGATTTTATTCTTTTATAATATAGATTGTATTCTCTTCAAAATTAAAACTTTCTTAATAAATTCCATTGATAAATTTATCATAAATTTATTATATGATACTATTGATTTCTTTTTTACATCAAATCTTTTTTATCTGATAATTTTTCTTTGTTTCCATTTTTCTTCATTTACCACTCTTCTTTTCCATTTTATCTTCTCTCTTTTTCCTCCCTTTCTTTCCTTTACTTCTTTTCATACTGTTTGTGTATTTTGAAAATTTTTATTTCTTTAATTTCTTTAACCTTTATCTTATAATAAAATTTATTATTTATTATTAATAATAAATTAAATTTATTATTCAATACATCAAATTTAATGTAAATATATATAAAATCATCTAATTATATATATATATATATATATATATAAAAATCGATTTGTATCATCACAGTAGTACCTATATAGAGAGCTTAAGAGATTTATAAAGATCCAAAGGATCGATGGAATGCGAAAACGAAATATAAAACAATCCATTGAGCGAGTACCGAAGCTATGAAAATAGTAACATCAGCTTCATACTTGTTATTCATACTTATTGTTTCTATTTATTATTGTAACATTGGTCATTATAATTTCAATCACTCGAAGAATTGATTTATATTTTATTTTATATATACTATATTATATTTACTATATTATATACTATACACTATATTTACTATATATATACTATATACTATATATACTATATTATATATACTATATTATATATACTATATTATATTATATTATATTTTATTTTATATATACTATGGATGTGAAAGATATTGTCTTGGATAGATATTCAGAAATTTAATTTTCTGAAAAAATGTGGATCTAATTGGCCAAAAAACGGCCAACCCAATTTTAGCTCAAACTGATATTATGTTATATATTTTTTTATTATTTTTGGCAAAAAGGATTATCTATTAATCTGATGCGTGAAGAAAAGAGAACGACATATCAAAATTAAGTTAGATAGAAAGATATAAACGAATATTGTCAAAAGTATTAAAGATGAGGATAGGAAAATCGAATAAGAAATCTTTTTTACATTATTTACTTAATGTATATATCAAACAAATTAAAAAACAAATTTCTAAACTCCGCACAATATTAAATATGTTGATATTAATTCATTCAATATACATGTTGAATGCCAGTTAATGTATTTATTTCTATATAAGTTAATAAACAGCAATTATATTTTTATGCTATTAACTTAAATACATATATGCATAATGAAATTCTGTAATTGTAGCAATTTTTATTTATAAATATTTCGAAAACTAAAGCTGTTGGCTATAAGAAAAATTATATTGTTCAAAATATTGTTCAAAATGACTTATATATTTCGGCTGTATTTTGGAAAAGTACATGATATATATGATATAAATGTTATGATTGATATGAAATTTGGAAAGTTTATAAGAGGAAGAATGTATTCTAAATCTGAAATTTTAATTTCGATTATTTATTAATTTCCAAGATATCAATAAAAAACTTTCATTATTGAATTCTATCTATATAAGTATAATTAACGTATTATATTACACAGACATTATTAACCAACTGTTTTTACACAGGATATTATCATGTCATTATAATATAAAATATATATAAATCAAAGTCTGTATCAGTCAATATAAAGTATTTAATCATAATATAATTCTAGAATATAATATAGCAAAATCGATTATTTTAACTTCGGTCGTGTAAAAAATATTTTGATAAATATTTTATTTTAATCAGTATTAATTTAATATAAGAATATTTATTATTTTTTATTAATAAATATTACATATTTATTAATATATATATTTGTTATAACAAATTAGTAAAAATAATAATTAAATTTAAACTATTAAATAATATCTTTAAAATTATATCTTTTCCATTGCTGCATATATAGATGAAATGTTGATAATGATTAATGACTATTATTTATATTATTATCTTTTTCATTTTAATTATACTAATAATAATTATATCGAAAAATATTGAATTTTAAAATCCCGTATGAAGAAATGAATGATTGAATGATTGAACTTATATGATTCAATGCAAGAAAAAATTAGGATAATTATCTAAAAATTGGACTTTCTCACTGATTTTGATAATTTTTGAGTATGTTGTAGATGATAAAATTTTGAACAACTTTTTCTTATATATGTAAAATCGCCATCCAACTTTAGTTTTTGAGATATTACATAATATTTCCTACACACACACACACACACACACACACACACACACACACACACACACACACACACACACACACACACACACATTTCCTATACATACACACATACATACATATATATATATATATATATATATATATACACAGTTTGTGAAAAAAAATATACAATCAATGCTTATTTATTATTTCTATAAATAAACTACAGCGATTATTCATTCAAAATGTATAACATGTAAATTAATTAGAAAGTTATATATACTTCCTTATAGATATGATGGATTTAAAATATTTTATTTAAACTATATCTAAGTCAATCTAGTTTGTATGATTGAAATTATTGATTTATAATGATCAAAATTATAATAAACTTTCAAATAAATGTAATAATGATATATTATTTGGAATTTCGATGATTATAATTTTAATCATTCAAAGATTATTTTATTTTTATAATTTGTAAATTCACAAAATATTTGGATTGAGATATTTTAAATCCACTATATTATATATTATAAGTCCACTATGATCTATTTGATCTTTTTGATCAATTCATTTGGATTATATATTTTATATATATGCCAGTTGCATATATAGAAATAGTAGATAAGTATATATTTATATACATATTATTATATAGACAAAATTTTATATAATAGTAATTTTTTTGCAAATATCTCAAAAAGTATGAATGTCCAATAATTATATGTAGAAGAAAAAAATTGTTCAAATTCTTGTCTTAGAAAATTGTCTTTTAGAAAATCATTAAAATTAGTGGAAAAATTTTAGACAATTTTTTAGACAATTATCAAAATTAGTCATTTCTAATTTCTTAAACAAACTTTTTAAAAAGAAAATTTAGAAATTAAAATTGAATATTACCTCTATTAATGCCGCCTGTTCTTTTGTCATATAATATACCAAATGGTCTTCCATCGCAATCTTCATTAGAGAGCATCGATTTTATGCTCTCATATTCATTTAATACCACAACATGATTTATTCCAATTTTCATTCCGATTATTGGTCCATATTTCTTGCTCAAAACAGAAAAAGTTTTGAATAAATAATGATTTTTTTTGCGTAAATGAGAAAATTCTAAGGCACAGCCCAAAATTGGCCACCATTTTGGACCTAAAATTTTTAGAAATAATGTAATTATTTTCCATTTGTTTTATAAGTTCTTAAAAAATTTTTTAATATAAATTTTATCTTAATTATTTAATTATTATTATTAGATAGTTAAACTTAATATCTAATTAGTTACAATTAATTTAACATTTAATAAAAAAAAGCTTTGCTTTTTTCCAGAATCAACATTGATTTTTGAAAAAAATCAATTTTAAAAACGTTATAATTAAATTTTTCAATTTTGTTTTGTGTTTTAATAATAGTAATAGTTCAGTTGTTCTTGACATAATATAATTTTCCTGGATTTATTTTCATTTCTTATTTCCAATAAAAATGACATAAATTAGTTATTAATTAAATTAATAACTTAAGTTATAATTACTAGATTATAAATATCTAAATATGTTTAAATAATGATCAAAGTTAAAAAAATACCAAAAATTATAAAATCATTTTTATTTTCAATGTAAAAGTGAAATAGTTTGACAGATATGACCAAAATTAGAGCAATTATTATGCTAATAACAAAAATTTTTATTTCTTTATAACATTATTAAATCATAATAATTTCGCTTTATCCAGATTAAAAACGTTGACCATTCCAATATATCGAAATTATAGCTAAGCTAATAAGATCAATTATTGAGTACTATGTCGTCATACATTTACTAATTTATTTTGCTTTTATATTGAAAAAAAAAAAAAAAATAAAAAAAAAAGAATTTGAATTTAGATGATTTTCTAAAAGAAAGTCTGTTCTATCATGTGATTAAATTTTTTCTTAAAGTTTTAATTTTTGAAATAAATTGAAAAATAATATATTTTTAGTATTCTTTTAATTTTAATCATTATTTAAATTTAAATTAAATGTTTATATAACTATTTATGTCATTTTTATTCGGAATAGTTCTTAGGATTATTTTATATCAAGAAAAATTGAACCATTATTGTAAAAACACAAAATACTTCCAAAGTTGAATATAATTTTTTTAAAATTGGTTTTTTAAAAAAATAGATTCTTGAGAAAAAACAATTTGCAAAAATTTACATTTATTATATTACAATCTATAAGAAACGTTTATTGAAAGTTACAAAATCGAAAAAAAAGATTTTAAAATTTATCGAATAATATGTATTAAATATAAAGTATTAATTTATTTGTGGAACATTTTTAGATTTGATTTGATTCTAAAATAAACAAAGAATTCTAAAAATAAAAATATCAATTGAGATATTATTAATTCAAGTTTCTAATTATAATAAATTATAATTTTTATGTACACAATTTTATATTTATTTTAGGATATTTTGAAAAATGACGTATATTGTCATATGTATTGTTCCGAAGATATATGCATATGTATATATAAATAGTATTCAATGAATTAATAATATCTTTAAACGTAACATGTTTATCAATGTATAGTACCAAAAGATTTTAAAAATATCAAAAGATTTCAAAATGAATATATATTATAAATTATAATTTTATATTATTTTAGATTATTTTATGTTATTTTGTCAATCTTTTGTCTTCATAAATTTCCAATTTAACCTGGTATTGATAAACTTTTAGAAAAATATTTAAATTTTTTATTAACTTACCCATTAATTTTCTTCTTATCAATTTTAATTAGAATATATTGGAATATATTGATTTTATTTTGAATAATTTTTTTTTTTATATATAACTAACGGTTGGCTTTAATTTTCGAATTATTAAAATATTTTTGGTACTATATATTGAATTCCGTCCATATAGGATCGTAAATGTGTATGCATCAATATAGTAAAAAATTATTCAAAATGATATTCAAAATGATGTTTTTTATATCATATTTTATTATATTTATTATTATATTTCATTAAATATTCATATTTATTTATTATTTATTAATATATATTAAATATATATTATATTATTTATATATATTAAATATTTATTTATTCATATTATATATTCATATTATTCATTAAAATTAATAATCATATTCATATCAATTCAAATTCATATCATATTAATATTTATTATTCATATTTGTTTAATGAAAAATTATTCATATTCAATAAAAAAAAAATTTAAACGATCATTGAAATGATTAAGAATTTTAAGGATATAAATCAATTTTATATCATTTGAATCGAAAATTATACAGAAAGATTTGATACTGAGCGTCTTAATAATAATTTTTTTCATTTTGAGAAATTTTGAGCATTTAAACTTATGAATATAATTCAATATGATTAAAAATATTGAATAAAATTCAATATTTTTAATCAATGTATAAAAAAATATGTTTTTTTTTAATTTTTTTAAAATTCAAATCGAAGTATAATAAATTAATATTAAAAATACGAATACGAATACGAATTTTATACGAATTTTTAATATTGCAAAAAAATTATAAAAGTTATAGAAGATTGGAAAATTTTATAATATTGAAAAATACAACTTAGAAAATATATATTTTGCATTTAAAATTTATCTTTTTGCAGATTATATTCATTTTTTTTTCAATCAAATTCATTCTTTTGCTTTCGATTTGAAAAAAAGATAAATATAATTGAATATAATCATTTTGTCTTATTAAAGATTCACGATCCGAAATGAACGTAGACAGAAAAGGACATAAAATTTCTTACAATTTTAAGAAAAATCAGAATTTTGTTAAATTCCGGATCGCTAAGAATTTTTTTAAACCTCGGACTAATCGCACAACTTTTTTATAATTAAAAGAACTTTTTTAATCTTTGAAGATAAGAATAATAAGAACTAATTGAATCAACTAATAATAACTAATAAAGAACATTTTTGAACCTTGAGCTAAAAAAACAATTCTCGAATGTAAATAAAATTTGATAGACACAAAATAGAATTTTGAATTCTGTTAAACAAAATCTATTAACTTTGAACGAATTTTTTTAAATTTAAAATTTTTATAGAACTTTCTGGATTTGTATATTTATAATTAATGATTTATATGTGAATTTTTATTTGTATTTAAATAATTTAATTAAAACATTGGAACTTTGTTGAATCATTTTTATTATTATAAAATATAGTGCCATAAATAATCGGACCATTATATTTTTTTTATATCAATATAAAAAAAAGTTAATAAAAATTATATTTTTAATAACATTTCAAATTTGATTGGGAATCTACTCTTACTAGTAAATAGTCAATAAAATTTAAAATATATTTAAAACTAAATAGTAATCATATATTTATATTCCTATACATATTTTTTTTTACAATTTTCTATCTAAATTAGCATTATTTATAATTGTTTATTTATGAAATATTTAATATTTTATTAACATCATGAAAAAGTTTAGTTAGATTATATAAAAACAATGATCATCGTAGGCGATAATATTATGCTAAAATATTTTTTGAATATTTCAAGATTAAGATCAAACGATAACAATAATATATATAAAAAAAATTGTTCAAAATATATTATTTTAATATAATTATTTTTCGAAAGCTTTCAAATAAAATAATAAATAATACAAAAATTGATATTACTTTTCACTTAAAAAATTCAAAAAGGACTTCTATTAGTCATTTCAAAAAAATTCTTGTACATCAGAAGATCAATTTTCCATTTAAAAAGTGAATAAAGTAAATATTTTATTTTATTAATTTCTGAAGTTTGTGGGTTTTCGTAAACTAAAAAAAAAAAAATAAATTAAAGTATGATTGATGAGTTTTAACTTGTTAATTTTATTTGATGAATATATTCATATTATCTTTCATTATTTTTTATTACATTAAAATCTTGAAATTGATAAACTAAAAAATTAAATTAAAAAATTATTATCTCAAAAATTTTAATAAAAATATTAGAATTTAAAAATATTTTTATTACAATTTTTGAGATAACAAGAAAATAAAATAAAGTTCAATCAAATCAAAAACAAATTTTACACGAAGATTTCAAAAAAATTCATTTCAAAAATATATAATATTTAAGAAAGAATAATATTTCTAATTTATCTTATTTTTTTTTTTTTAATAAAAAAATTATAAATGTTTAATCTTGTCAAAAATATCATTGAATTTATATATTAAAATTATTGATTTTTCAAGAAGATAAATTGAAATTTTGTTCTAATTTATTTTACAGCAAATGTATTTGCTCTCGCACATTAATATTATATATTTCTAAATTAAAATTACAAGTTAATAAATTAAAATATGTCATTTAAAAAGATGAGGAATGAGTCATATAATATCATATAATTATATATATTAAGAAATATAAATAATATATTATGTTATTAAAAAATATAGTACCTGGAGGATATCCTTTTGGTTTCTGCAAGCCAAGATATAGCAGCAATAATAGTAGTATTATACACAATATCACCATGGAGAACATTCTGCGAATACAAACAATCTATTACTTTTGCAATTCCTTAAAAATTATTTCCTTATATATAAGTTTTAATTCAAATATTCAGATATTTAAAACTTAATATTAGTATTAATATTTAAAACTTAAATATTTATTAATAAATAATGAATGAATAATGAATATAATGATCATATCGTTTACAGTTTTTATTGTTTGATATCAAAATTAAAATTAAAAAAATATGAATTTTTTAGAATATATTTGCATAATTATATCAAATTATAATATAATGTTATATAATTAAGAATAGCATTGAAGATAAAAAAAAAGCAAAAAAAAAAACTATGGAATAAAAATTAAATTAAATTAAAAAATATAGTTCAATTAAATTATATTACAAAAATTAATGGTTTATAAATGCTTATAATTTTTATAATATCTTGAAAATATATGAATGAAATATATGAATGATTTTAAGATTTGATATCAATAGTATCAAATTTGCGTTATTAATTCGATTCCATCTTGTTAATAAAAAATGACTTCATTTGAATCCATCTTAATTTATTTGAATTTATCTTAATTTATTAATTATATTTTATTATTTAATTATATTTAATTTACTATTACATTAATTTTTATCGCATTTTTTCACTGTATATAGTTCATTTAAGAATAATTTTTTAATTAATTTAAGAATAATATATTAAAATAATACTGTAATTTTAAATTAACTTAATATAAATATAATAATATAATTAATATAAATTAATTTAATATAAATGAATGTTGTAAACACAAGACTCGAATTATAATAAATGTTTTACTTAATATATGATTTGAAATTTTGTGTGATTTTAAAGATCAAAGTCAACTCAAAATCATCATATTATAGATCGCTGAATGATCGTTTATCCATTAAAAAATATTTACTAAAAAAATATATATATTGATTTTAAAAAACACTAGATCATTTTGATATCATAAAAAAATTAAGATATTAAAAAATTTAAATTGCATTCATCTGCAGTATTTCTTAAAATGCTATATAATTTAAGGTATTTTTTTGATACAATCAATATGAAGCGATATTTTGTGTTAGATAATAGTTCTTATTGATTTACTTTATATATTATATATTTTTATATATATTTTTAAATAACCTTATGAAATAATAATCCCATTGAAATTAAGTAGAATTTTATGTAGACTTTTTTTTATTTTATAAAATTCGAAAAAATAATTAAAATAAAAAATTTTAATTTTACAATCTATTGATTGTATCGAGTTTATATTTTTTTTATTTTTTTCATATGTATTGCATTTTTTATATAATTTTTTTTAAATCAGTTTATATATAAATGAAAAAATAGATGTATAAAAATATATTTTATCCGATAATTAATTTCAAAAATCGTTGTAAACTATCTTATAAAGAAATTCGAAAATTTTGTTTTTAAATGAAAGTATTTTTAAATGAAAAAATTTAAAATATAATTAATTATACATGAAACAATTTACGGCAGAAAATCTTTTTGGCATGAATTCAAAATTTCAGTATTTTTTTTATTTTGAATATAATTTCACTTGGAAATATTTTTTTATAATAAGATAAAATATATATATATATATATATATATATATCGATTTTCTGTTTTCGATACTTCTCTTTTGCGAATTGAAAATATTATTTTGTAAATAGTTCTAATAATTTTAATGCAATTTAAATTCTTATCCACATATTCTAATATTAATTATATATGAACTATATCTCAATATATTAGTGAACATCAAAGCGAAAAAATTGCGAAAGTATTGTGAAAGTACTACATTCAAATAATAATAAATTTGTGAAATTGTCTTCTAAATTTCAATCGGTTAATTGGAAAATAAATTCATGTGAATAAATTTTTATCTTATAAATAAAAATTAAATATACATGTTTTTTATATATATATATTTATATTATTTTATAATTTAACTATTCCTTTAAGATAATAAAATATTTTTTAATTATTGTTAATGGTTTATTTGTAGCATGCAGAAAGATTATTTTTATGTATATAAGGAAAAAAAAATAAAAAAAGAACTTTACAATAAATTATAAAGTTTAGAATATTAAAAAAAAAAAGAAGAAAATTTATAAGAAGATTCAAAATACTGAAAAAATTTGAAAATTGATATTCGAACAAAAAAAAAACGTCGTTATATCAGAATCGAGATAATGTTATTTTAGGAAAAAGAAATCATTTATCACGAAACAAATACGAATTTGATTGGTTAACATAAAAAGAAACGCCTATTTTTATACATATTTTTGTTTCTAGCATGGTATTTGTCAATATTGATATATATATTAATTCAATTACGTGACAGAGAGGATGCTAAATAGATAAAACAAAAATTAAAATTGCTAATAAAGATCAACAAATAAAATCACCTTTATCTGAAACTGAATTACATGATAGAATATCTAGAAAAAAACTGCATATTTCAGACAAAAATATTAAAATTTCAATAAAAAATAATTATAAATCACATTTATATATATATAATATTATACTATATATATATTATATATATAAATCACATTATATTATATATATAATTATATATATAATATAATATAAAAATAATTATATATCACATATAATTATAAATCACATTTTGAATATCTATAATTTGGAGTGACAAATCCAAATTTGAATTACAATTGAAACGGAGACAATATTTATGAAAAAAAAGAGATATTTAAATAAAATGTTATCATTCTAACTATAAAATATAGTGAAGATTCTAGTATGATATGAGATTGTTTCAAAAATTAAAATTAAATAAAATAAAATTAAATAAAAATTCAAGAATTAATAGTTATTGATAATATATTAATGGTAACAAAATACACAAAAATATTAAAAAAAAATTTATTTCCATCAATTAAGAAATTCAAATGAGAGAGTTCACTGTCAATTATGAGTTCACTGTCGAAAAAAAGTCGCATAAAAGAGATTCTTCGCTTTGACCGCTTATCCTCATTTTGTTGACATTCTTGAAATTACACTTGACACTATATAGTAATAGAAGAATTATAATTTGAATATCCGAAATCATAAATATTATATTCTAATATTATATTATATTATATTATATTTAAATATTATATTTAAATGAAAATTATGTTAAGATAATTAACAATCTAAGATTTAAAGTTGAAATATTTTCGAAACTATTATTTATTTTGATATTATATATATTAGTATATTGATTATATATATTAATATATCTATGTCTAGCTTATTCGTATATATAATATTATTATTTTAACTACTTCAATATGAAATTATATTTATAAATTAAATTATTGTCACAAATCATAATTATCCTACACATATTATGAGAAATAAAAAAAATTTTTTATATTATATTGATACGTTAGAATATTCTGGATTCTATGCCTATATTAATACATTGAAATTTAAATACAGATTATTTTGATAGAAACGTTTTTTATTACTCCTCTCTGTCACGTAATTGAATTAATATATATATCAATATTGACAAATACCATGCTAGAAACAAAAATATGTATAAAAATAGGCGTTTCTTTTTATGTTAACCAATCAAATTCGTATTTGTTTCGTGAGATTTCTTTCGAACAGTGAATTATTTATCACATTTCAACAATCAACAATAAAAATAATGATAACAACTCAAAACATTACAAAATCATTAAAAAATTTATCGAGAAAAATAATATATTGCTTATTTCTTGATTATGACAGAGTTTCGAATCTTTCAATTGAATATTTATAAAACAAACTGATAGAAAAATATCAAAAAGAAAAATATGCAAAAGTGAAAGCTTAAAAAAAACATGAAATAAAATTCCGTAACAATGAAATTTGATGATTTTAAAAAAATGGCATATTTAATATTAAGATTTAAAAAAAATTTTAAATATTTAAAAAAAATAATATTAATTTTAATATAAAAATAGCATATTAAAGTATGCTATATGCTATTTATTTTTCATTCAGAAATCATCATAAAGGCTACTAATTTTCTTAATAATATTTTAGTTATTATGAAAAAATTACAAAAAATTTCGTTTATATTTTGTTTATAGATAATGTTAAATTAATTTTTGATAGATGGTAATTATAAAAAGTTCGTTAATTATATTATTAAATATATAATATAATATTATATAATTTAACGTAGAATAAAACTCTTTACTATAATATTATTTAATAAATTTTTTTATATAATATTATAATATTATTTTAATTTAGAATATTATTTTATTATAATATTAAAATATTTTTGTAGATATTTTATTTTTTGCTTGTTTTAACCGTATCCTTTTATTAATATTTTAAAATAACAAGTATGAACTTAAATATTAAACTAGTACTAAAACTTGAATGTTTTGAAATTTTAACTTAATTATAATTTATTTCGCATTTGTAAAGTTATTTATAGATATTATTTGTTTTTAACAAAATTAAAGAATCATAAATTTTTATCATAAATTTTAATCATTGATTTTTACAATGTTATGACTTTGCGAAAAGAAATCGTATAATATAAATTTATCAAAATTTTTAGTTTTTTATTTCTGAATTTCCATAATAATTTTCTTGTATTTAAAAACATAACATGGCGATAACAGTGTGATAATAGTTTTTCAAAAAAATTCTAACGATTCTATGAAACTTTTATTTTTATAATCTTGAAATTTATTTTTCGAAGACTGCTTTTTGTTATAGAATGAAAAATTAAAAAACCAAAGTTTTTTTTAAATTTTTATAAATTCAATTCATTTTATAAAATTAAAAAAATTTTTCTCAGAATTGGATTGAGATCATTTTATAGAGAAAGTTTCCTCTTTAACAATTCTTAAAAAATTAAACATACAATTAAATTTGTATTTAGCATATTTAGTATGTCTAAAAATAAATATTTAATATGAATATGAATATGAATATTATAAAATGTATGATACTTTTAGAAAGATTCTAGAAAAAATGATAAAAAATATACATATACATATATATTCGATAAGGTTTAATTATATAATTTATTGATATATTGATTATTATATTAATAATATATTTTAAATTTTTATAATATTTATAAAATAAATTATAAATATTACAAATTTTAATTTTAATTATAATATTTTATAAATATTTTAAATTTGTATTAGAGAGAATGAGACGATAGAGAATGCCCAATTGGGTACGCGGCAGTACTATAATGTTGCTTGCATAATGTTTTTTAATAAATAAAATAAATACATTGTTATTTTTTTATTACACTATTTCTGTGTAATTTCATATATGAATTTCATTATATGAATTTCAATGTAATATACAATATACATACATAAATATCATGTAATATAACTATGTAACAATCTTATATCGTTTAAAAAAATATCACATTTCAATAATATATTGTCTTGTACTGCAGAATCAAGTTCAAAATTTGATAAAATAATACATATTTGAAATAATGTTATATAAGTATTAAAATAGTGTTATATAATATTATATAATATATAATATATAATATATAAGTATAATAATCTGCATATAAAATTAAATTATATGATAATAAATGATAATTAATTATCGTATATATTTTATTATTAAAATAATTTTATTTAAAAAAATTAATGTGAATAATCAATAAAAATATCATTACTATAAATATCATTATATAATCAATACTAATGTGAAAAAAAAATGCAATGTTTATATAATTTTTTTTATATATAAAATTTGGTATTAATATGATATAATTAAAATATAGATATTGAATTTCAACTTATTATTATTATTATTTTTTCCTATTCACTAATCTCATATCGGAATAAAAAATATTGAATTCAAACAAAATAGAGACAAAGATTTTTCGACCGATACATTAATAATCTATATAATTCAAATTGATTCAGAAGATAAATAAATTTGTAATAATAAATAAATGTGTAGAAAAACATATTCAATCTTTCTAATGTGAAATCGTATGGAAATGTGTTTTAATTTGGTTTTATGGATATCAATAGGCAAATTGAGTGTTATGCAACTTTTTCATGGCTTTCAACTATGAATTTAAATAAAATAATGTATAATATCAATATTCTAGAATTTATTGAAACTTATTTGAATTTTAAATTTTTAAAAACAATTACATAATGCATATATTTTATATTACTAAAAATCAGAAATAGTTATCTGTATATAAAAGAATATTAGTATATTTATTTTTATTGAAAGACTATTATTGCTATTGTCGCGCATGCAACTGAATATTCTCATTCTTTCGCTGTTTCACTATATCTAATATAAACTTAAAATTCTTAAAGCTTATTATAACTCATAATAATTTATTAATTAAATTATCATAATTAAATCATATATATGAATTTTTTTGTTATTTTGATGTCTAATATCCATATCTCCAAAAGTGTTCTATATTTTTATGAACATATATATTACATCATCAATGCCCACTGTTCTTTTTTTGCCTTATCTAACTTAAATTGTTTATAACTTAATAAATATATTACTCATATTTTTATATCACTTTTTGTGTTTATTTTAATAACTTTTTAAAAATCCCATATATTTATATCTTGCATACATATATCATACATATATAGTTTTCGATAGCATTTCTCGTAGTTATTATATAATAAAATTGAATATTAAAAAAAGAGCAAGTAAATAAAGTAAAATTCAAGTATAAAATTATAAAAAAGAATAGATATGCATATATATATAATTTCTATCTTCGATCTATTTTTTTATCACTTCAATATTCAAATCTATATCTCTTTTTCTTGTTATTCTTTTTTATATGTTCGATTTCAAATATATGAGAAATGCTATTAAAAATTCAATCAAAACTTTCAAAACTATTAAAATTTTTAAATCTTATAAAACATATAAAGAATTTTAAAAGTCCTAAATTTCAAATTCGAATTAATTCGAATCTTCATTTTAATAATTTTAAAATTGAGATTTGAATACTCATCTACAGTTTAATAAATAAATCTCAATCAATATGTATTTATTTTAATCTCTTAAAATGCTTCTCAAAATATATTCTATGAATATATTAATACTTTATACACAGAAAATTTCATTAAAAATTTTCATTTATTTTGAGAATTTTATTTGTTATTAATCGAGATCAACAAAAACTTTTAAGACTGTGTTTCAAAGAATAACTTTAAAAAATTAATGGCAATCTCTATAATTGAAAAAATTCATGACTTCGATATTATCCGGTTTTGAACATTTTAAACCAAAATGCACGAGTTTCTGTTGGAGTTCTTGAAAAAGAAAGTGACTTATGAGAGAAAGTCACATACGGAAGGACCGATACATGCTCTCACTTTCATTATTTCGTAACTTCTTGCGTAATCGATTTATGTATATTTTAAAAATTTGTTCTTTTTTTTTTAAACATGACATTTTTTTATATTTTTTAAACTTGCGAGTAATATAATATTATATATGGTATTATATATATAGTATTAGCGAGTATATTATATATATATATATATATATATATATATATATATATATGTATGTATATATAATATTATAACTATTATTTACTTATTCTTTTTTTATCTTTTGATTAAACCAATCATCCTTGCAAATTTTTTTAAATTAAATCTTTATCTGTCAATAAATATATTTTTTTATAAGTAATAAATAATAATGAATGAATAATTAATGAATTTCTAAGTAGTTAAAAAAAATTGATTCCTTTTTAGAATAACTTTATCAATAATTAATCTGCTTATTGCATCTAATCATTAATAAATTCAATCATATTTAGTTCAATGATAATATTTGAAATTCATAGAACTAAGATTTTTATGATACATAATCATATTATAATATAAACCACATTTTTTAAGATAAGTTGTTTTGAAAGATTAAGAAACAAGAAAAAGTTCTTAATAAATTTGTATCAATCGATTTTTTTTGATAAAATGAATTGAAATTACTTATGTCTTATGATTACGCATAAATAATTCATACATATATTCATACATATTTGAAAAATCAAAAGAATGTAATAAATGAAGAAAATAATATAATAAAAAAGACAAATAACAAATGAAGATAACAAAAACGGCAAATTATGAAATAATTTAATACTACCAAATATTATCAAATGAGTAAAATATTCATAAAAAAAAAAACAAAAGTTCATTTTATTTTTTTAACATTGAAAATTTTAAAAGAATTTTTTGTCTATTGAAGTAAATAATATATTTTTCTATTTTTGCTATTTTTTTGACATTATTCATTGTTTAGATAGCTTTAAAATAATCAAGATTGGACATTTTTTACTTGGAATAAAAATAAAAAATAATTCGAATAAAACAAAAAATAAATTTATTTCAAATAAAAATGTTTGCAATTCTAAAATTTTATTTATTCTAAAATATATTATAATATAATATATATATATATTTATTATAATTATATTCTATATTATTATATCTATATATCTATATTATATTTATTATAAAATTTTATTCTAAAATATCTAAAAAAAAACTATTTATTTTTAAAATATTTGATTATTTCAAATAACAATATTTATATAATAAAAGATAGTATTTACATAATAAAAAATAACAAATATAAAAATTTTTATTATATTTTATATAAATCATATCAAATAGTGCAAATCAAAAGAAAAAGAAAGTATTGTTCACTACGAGAAAAGTTCCACGAAAGGAATGTGCATTTGATTGGTTAGAATGGGAAGAAAATGCCTATTTTTATACGCATTGTTTTTATTAACATCTTATCAACAAGTATTTGTTAAACATATATTAATTTGATTGTATAACAGAAAAATAATAGGATTTATTGAAGGTAAGATAATAAATCTAATAAGATAATTTCTCACATGACTCCATAATTGAAAATAACATCTTATTAAAATTATCTTATTGATATAAAACTTTTTATTCATTTTGAATATTCAAAAAATCAAATCTCATTAGCGTATATCAGGAAGGTAAACGCGTGGTCTTCAAGAGCGTCAAAAATGGGGATAAGCAAAGGATTCCTCTTGTGTTGTCCCATGAACTTCTTTTCAGCAATGAACAATACTTAAATCTAGATAAAAAAAAAGGAAATAGGAATTTTACATAGAAAAACTAATAACTTTTGGGAATAGAAAAACTATTTCATTATAAAAAAATATTTTATTATACTATTATACTATTATTATATTTTATTATAATATATATATTATATATTATATTTTATTATATATATATTGAAAATTTATTTCAATAATGTTTAGTTCTTAAAAAATTATCACAATTATCTATTTTTGATTTTATATAAAAAAAAAATTAATATATGTTATCAAAAAGATGTAATGAATGAAATGTAAAATATAAAAAAAAATTTATTTTAAAACTAAATAAAATTTTTAAATATGAATGATTCTTTCAATATATAACATAAGATGTATAAAATAATTTTATAATTTTTAATTTTATATAGAATTTTTTTTAATAATTTTTTTAATAAAAAAATTAGTGGTAGTTTTAAATTAATCTTTTCATTAAAATGCTTAAATTGATCACTTACCTTGTATTTGACAAATTCACTCTTCCGTTGTATAAGCAAAACTGACCGTGGACCAGCTTGGAAACGGCTTTTAAATCTCCCCTCTACACTTTCATTCATTTTTTATTTTCAGGAAAAAGTTGAATAACAGTCTTAAGAACTTTATTTTCATATGATGCTATGAAACTTAAATATTATTTTATTATTTTAAATATTATTTTATTTATATTACCAAATATAATAAATTAATTATTATTAGAAATAAATTTATTTACAATATATCAAAAAGTATCAAATAAAAATAAAAACAGTTGAGTAAAAAAATTAAATATTTTTTATTATATATGTAATATATAAATTACAAATATTACTTTTTATTTTCTAACATTTTTCTGTTTCAAAAGGTAGACGATCACCCCATTCACTACATCTAGCACAACGATATGTATTTCTAAAAATATGAAATGTTGCATTAATGCAATTTCAATTCTTTTATATAATACTTTCCTTTTTATTTAAAAAATACAGACTTTCCATTTTTCCATGTCGTGAAAATTTGTTCTTCTAATTCTCCGGAAGCTGTACACATACGACATATAACATGTTTAGACCGTTTTAATACTGGTCTAACAATTCGTGGCCATTTGCAATCATCTTCGGAACGTTTATCTAAAATTATAGATCATTTTTATATAAATTAGAGTTAACAATTTATTTTGTATTATTCTTTTTATTTTATATATATATATTATATTTTACTGAAAATGAACCTTTTTTAAGTACTACATATGAATAACGTTCATGTTTATACTCAGATTTTTCACCAATAGGTAATGTTAAATATGAAACTTCAAAATTGCAAGGAGTGTTATCTGTTACATATCTAGGGCATTGAGCATCATGAGGACACTGAAATAATTAATTACAAAAAATTAATATAAATTATAATATAATATAATATAAAAATTAATAAATTATAATATATTGTAAAATAATTGTCCAACACAAATATTATTTTTAAATATCGATTAAAATATAAGAAAATGATTCTATAAATCTAAAGTTCTAAATTTTTTTAGTTAAATATAAATTCGGAAACAGAATTTATCAGTTTTACTTTAAAAAAAAAAAAAATCATAAAAATATAAGATTTTTTCTAAAAATAAAATGTTATGTTAAATCTACGTAAAAAAAATATTAGAACATTTAATTTAATTTTAAAAAACAAAGGAAACGATAAAAAAAATAATATGAATTAATATTTTATATAATTTTTCTGATTGTAAAAAATTTTTAAATTTAAAAAAGTATTGATAAACGATTTTTCAGATATTTTTATATTTTTACAAAACGTTATCTATTTAATAAGAATTTATTATTTTGTAGACATTTCTAAGAAAAAAATTATTAAAATGATTTTAAACTTAAAAATCAGATCAAAAAAAATCTAATAAAAGAATATATAGTTAGTTAGTAATTATAATTTTCATGCTTTAATATTATTACCAGCCTATAGTATTTGAGTATTTACTTTATATATAAATGATTGTAATTAAAATAATGTTATGAAAATAAGTAGCTATATATAAATTTTTATTTCAATAAATTATAATATTAATTTTGTAAAAAATATTTTCATATTTTATATAATTTTATATATTTTATATATTTAAAAAAAATCTGTTATTTTGAGATAGTATAAAATAACAGAATAAATAGTTTTTTATAAAGCTTTGTTTTGTTGTTTTAATAAAGTTGATTTTTGTTGGTGAATTTTCAAAAATAGGAAAATTTATTTATAATTATTATTATAATTAATTATTATAATTATAATTATAATTAATTATATATTTCTATCTTTTTATTATTAATAAATTTTATTTATTGAATCAACCAAATGAAGATAGAGAAGAAAAAAAATTATGTAAATTAATACTATTTTATAAGACTTTTTACTTTTAAAATAGTTGTCGATTTTTTTATTTTTTTATTTTTTTTATATATATAAAATAATATACAGATTCAATACAATTCAAAACAATAAAGCAAAAATGAATACATACAAATAACATAAATAATATTATGAATTTACTTTTCATGATAATGAATTTTTAAAAAAAATATTGTAAATATAGAAACTTGTTACATTATATATATATATATATATATATATATATATATATATATATATAATAGTATGATTGCTATATAAAATGAGATGATTATACGAAATTTCGTTGGAAAAAAAAAAAAAACGAATTTTATTGGATTTTCAAAATTATTTGATTTTTCATTAATACATTCATTCTTATATCATGCATAAGCAAATCGTAATATTTCGATTATATCGTAATATCTCGGTGATGAAAATTAATTATAAATGAGAAATTGTAATTTAATTATATTATTTCGCGCATGTAGATTAATATTATAATTATATAATATAACAAGATCGAAAAATTTCTATATAAAATTCTCAAAAATATGTCAAAATTATATATGAAGAATATCATATATCATTCCTATAATTATAAATATTTTTATTACATATTGATTAGACTGATTTTGTAATGTAAACAATGACTATTTTAATGATAATTTAATGATAATTTAACAATCTAATAATAAAATATTTCGCATTCGGTAAATAAATTTATTAATTACTCATTAAATAATTCTTTAGTTAATTTTGTAGATATGGAGAAATATTATATTACATAAATATTTCATAGTTGAAATAAAAATTCTTCTATAAACAAATAATTTACTTACATTTTTTTCATCAATAAGAAAATAGCATTTATTATAGCACAATTATTAAATATCTAAATAACAAAATATAAAAAAAAAATTATAAATAAAATGAATTCAAAAATTAAATTTAGTTCCAAAAAATTTTTCTTTTTAAAAAAAGAATTAAATTATGATTCATAATTACTTTGAGATTTTTTATGTTTGTGACAATGAAGAATATGATGTAATAACAAAAATTGATTTTGAATTTCAATATCAAGATCATTTTTTAACATATTTTTATTTATAGATTTTCTCCAATCCAGAGATATAGAATGATGCTATAATGTTCTTTATATTAACTTTTATACATTCTGTACAATGTAAAATATTTTTCTATTTATCACAGTATAATATAATATAATATAATAATATAATATAATATAATAATATAATTTTATTTTTTAATTTTCATCTTTATCTTGTAATTTAATATAATTATATTTAAATATGTCAAAATCAAAATTTATTTTAATTGATGATGATTAAAAAGTTATTTTTGATTTCATATTAAAAAATATATAAGGAAATTCAAACATTTTATATATAAAAATTGGATATATACATTATTAATATATTCATAGAATAATAATAATAAACAATGAAATTAATATTATACAAAAATGTCAATTAAGATGTCTTAATTAAATAATTATATATAATTGAAATTTGAGATTTTTATTTTTATTATATTGTTATGTTATTTTATCTTTATTCATTTCATTTAATATAAAGTCATATTGCTTATAGATTAATCAATAAATCTTAACCAACATTTTTATATCAATTTTTGTATTTGTTTTAATCTGTAAAATCAATCCTTCAAAATTATTCTAGAAATATATATGATATCCTATGTATTGAAATGACATTGATATTGATCACATATAATTTGATTCTATTAAATTCTATTTAAAAAAAAACAAATTACAACAATTTGACATGTGTTCATATCAAATATTTTTTTAATCTAATTTTTAATCGAATTTAAAACCGTTTTAGCATTAATTTTAGTATACAGAACTTGATATTATATATAGTGTAGTAAATTTTTATTAAATAAACAATTTAATAAAAATGCAGAATGTTATTATGAATATTATTTTTTCCACAATTTCAATGCTTTTTTGAACTTTTGTCTGCTTAAAATTAAATTAAATAATTACTTATATTTTTAGTTTTCATGTAATATCTTATTTTTGAATAAAATTATCCATTCTTACAAAATCTCAAGTTTTTCAAAATTAGTAATGAAATATTTCATATTTAAAGTGGAAAACAATCTACTATCATTTAATCAATATTACAAAATAAAATTTTTTGTTAAATAATAATAATTATTATATTAATACTTACAGGTGAAAATACATGTACATTAGAAGCATTCTTCTTATAATTAAGTATGAAATCTCGAGCTTCATTAATTATCTATTTAAAATAAAATCATTAGTTATAAAATAATGATTAAAATGAATAAATAAATTTTAATAATATATGACTTACTTTAAATCCTATATTTGTTCCTTGTTCTACAATAATTAAATATCGTTCTGTTTTATTCCATAATTTTAAAATTGTTTCAAGACGAGATATTTGGTTTGGTAATTCTAATAAAGAATATGCACTTACTACAATATCATAAGTTGGCTATAATATAATATAAATAATATATTTAAAGTCTATTTTAGATATTTCAATGTAATATAAATTATATTCTTACAATTGGAGATGCAGGAAAAAATTGTCGATAAAAAACATAATTTGTATTAATTTTTGGTGTAGCATTTTTTATAAGATATTCAGATAATTCATTCATATCTCGAGAAACATCAACACAATAATATTCCTTGATGGATTTATACCAAAATTGTGAGGCTGCCCTAATAAAATTAAATTTATATTTTTTTAATATTTTTATTGCAATATTTTTAAATAAAAATTATTTAATTTTATATATATTTTACCACATAACTGTGCCAGTTCCTGAACCATAATCAAATAATGTTTTTGGTATAAAATTTTTATCACTATTAACAATTTCATTAAAAATTTTATATAAAACAGAATATTCAGGTACACTTCTACTAATTAAATATGCTAAACTAATGTATTTATTATATGAAATTGGTGACCAGTTATATATAAGACTTTTAAAAAGCTTAAGAGCTTTTGGATTATTAAGTATATCATTTTTATTTAAATTTTGTGCTTCATGAATATGTGGATATATTCTTGACTGCACTTCTTGTAATTTTAAATTAATATCTTCTTTTTCTGGTGGAGGATGTCTATTATTCAAATGTGTTGCTAATTTTTTACTACTTTCATTAATCATCTTTGATGAAATTGTTACATCTATATAAATAAAAATATTTAAAAATTACTTTTTAATTTTTATCTATAATAATCATAAATATTATATTCTAATAAAAAATATTTTTTTTATAACTTATTACCATGTAAAATGTTTTTAATTGTTTTTATAAGCCAACTAGGTTGTTCTACTCTCTTAAGCTTTATTATACCTGGATGTCGTCTATGTTTAAATTCATTGTTTGAAATTAATTCATTTACAGTATCTATAATTTTCATTTTTTGTTTTGTTGAGTACTAATAAAATAAAATAAAATCAATATTTAAATTTAAAATCGTATATTGAAATAATTATTAATAATTCATAAAAAATAATAAAATAAAAATTATTATCAAAAAGTAATAGAAAATATTTTTACTTACCCAACGCATTTGTTTATATCTCAAAAATGTTAGTTTTATTGACATAATCAATAACCTTATTTAATATTCTTTTGTGATGGAAAAATTGAATATAAAATAACAGCTATAACAAAACATAAAACTTTGTTGATGTTGATTAAAATTATAATACAAATGTTTAAAATCTGTCGAATTATACTAAATATACTAATGATATTGCAATACGATATAGTATATATACTATAACCTCAAATCAATTCTACACTGAAATATCTATTATATGTACAACATATTTTTCCAAAATAACTTACGGTTCTTTTTAATAAACTATTAAAAACTTAGTTATTATATATATTAGCGTAGTTAATAAAATACATTGAAATATTACGGTTATCAAGTTAATTAATTCATAAAGAAAATGAAATTTGCAGAGCACTTAAGTGCTCATATTACACCAGAATGGAGAAAACAATATATAAATTACGAGGTAAGATAAAAACTTTCATCTTCAATCCTACGTCAATTTTATAAATTGTGTAGTAATAACTATATTAAATTTAATAAAAATTTATATTATAAAAAGAATATTTTATAGGAAATGAAAGCATTGCTCTATGCAGCAGTAGAACAAGCACCAGCTGCAGATATAACAGATTCACATATATTAGAACGTTATTTTAATAAATTTGATGAACAATTTTTTCATTATTGTGATAAGGAGTTAGCAAAAATAAATACGTTTTATTCAGGTAAATTTTATACAATTATTATAATATTATTATTTTTTGAATTTTTTATAATTTATATTAAAAAATATTTTTTATCTATTTTATTAGAAAAATTAGCAGAAGCAACGCGTAGATTTGCAACTCTCAATAATGAATTAAGTGAAATTCTATCTGCTTCTGAAAATGGACAAGGAAGTCATAAGATCCATTATCGTAATAATATTTTGCATAAAAAGCCAGTTTCAACACGAAAACTTCAAGAATTAAAATTAGCCTTTTCTGAATTTTATCTTTTTCTCATTTTACTTCAAAATTACCAAAATCTTAATTTTACTGGATTTAGAAAAATATTAAAAAAACATGATAAAGTATGTAAAAACAATTAATGTATATAAAAATTGATATTTATATTAATTAATAGAAACTGTTATCCTTAGCTTTTAAATATAGATCTTGGAGCAAAATGGAGAGCAGAACATGTAGATACAGCATTATTTCATACTCATAAAGATATAGATAGGCTTATTGCAGAAACAGAAGCATTGGTTACCAGAGATTTAGAACATGGAGATAGACAACGTGCTATGAAACGTTTAAGAGTCCCTCCTCTTGGAGAACAGCTTTCTCCATGGATTACATTTAAAGTGGGACTTTTTTCAGGAGCTTTTATTGTTCTTCTTATAGCAGTAATACTTTCAGGCAAAATTATATTTTTATTATATAAAATTTAGACATATAAAAATAAAAATAAATCAATATTTTATTTTATTTTATTTTATCTATTTTATAGGTGCACGTTACAGAAATAATAATAATTGGCGAGTTTTATGTAGATTATATCGTGGACCACTTCTTATGATTCAATTTCTTTTTCTTATGGGAATCAATGTATATGGATGGAGATCTTCTGGTGTAAATCATGTTTTAATATTTGAACTTGATCCTCGAAATCATTTATCAGAACAGGTTGTATTCTTTATTTATTGTTTATATATAAATTATTGATATATAATATATAATATATTTTCAGCACATTATTGAAATGGCTAGTGTGTTTGGATTAGTTTGGTCTTTATCAATTTTAGGTTTTTTATATAGTGAAACATTGGGAATACCACCATTTGTTCAACCTGTAAGTTTTTGTAATATATAAAATTGTTAAACATACATGTATATAAATAATATTTTTTCAGATGTTGTTATATATATTACTAGCTTTGTTTTTGTTTAATCCAACGAAAACATTACGTTATGAAGCTAGATTTTGGGCACTCCGTGTATTGGGTAGAATATTTTGTGCGCCATTTTTTTATGTTGGATTTGCTGATTTCTGGCTAGCTGATCAACTTAATTCTCTACATACTGTTTTCTTAGATTTTCAATATTTTGTTTGCTTTTATGTACAAAATTCTTCGTGGACCACTGTCACTGGTTTGTAATTAAATATTATAATTGCAAATTTTATTATTTATTTTAGAACTTAATTTATTTTAGGAAAGTAATTATTTAATTATCTAATGCATTTTTTGATAGATGCGGAAACTTGTATTATGCGCGAACTTTCAATGAGACCATTTGTGGCTTGTTTGCCAGCATGGTTCCGATTTGCACAATGTTTACGGCGATATAGAGATACAAAAGAAGCTTTTCCTCATCTTATGAATGCAGCAAAATATGCTACTAGTTTTTTCGTTGTAGTATTTTCTTACTTACATTTAACTAATGCTAGTAAGTATTTTTTATATATATTAATTAATATAAGAATTACATAGAAGAATATATATTTCTTTATAGAGTATTATGTATTATCTACTGAAAATCCTTATTTTTATTTGTGGATAACTGCAAGTATTATGAGTTCTTGTTTTACATATACATGGGATATAAAATTAGATTGGGGATTATTTGATAGTAATGCAGGAGAAAACAAATTTCTTAGAGAAGAAATTGTTTATTCTTCTCCAGTAAGTTTGATTGCTTATATATTAATTAAAATTTAAAAAATAATTTTATATTTGTATAATAATAATATTTGTGTTTTAGTATTATTATTATTTTGCAATAATCGAAGATTTTATACTTCGTTTTGGTTGGGCATTTTCATTATCTCTTACTGAAATGGGATATGTACATGCAGATTTAATGGTTTCTATAATTGCACCATTAGAAGTATTCAGGTAAGTTAAAAATAAATTGATATTACTAGCAATAAAAATATATTTTTAGAAATCATAATTATTTGCTGTACATTTAATGTGTACAAAATATGTCATATTGCACATCATTATAAAGGATGTTCCAAAAACGCAAGATTTGAATTTTGCGCTATTTATGTGGTAAAGTGTTGTCAATGAAAAAAAAACAGCATGACAGCATAACAGTTCAAGATTATTAAAAATGAAGTGCTACACGAAAGAACAACACGTTTTTATTGTTAAGCAATATTTTAAAAATAAGGTTTGGCAACTCTAGTTCGCAATTTTCGTACAAAATATGGTCGGAATAATGATTTAACTTCATTAACTGTGAAGAGATTAATTAAAAAATTTAGACAGACTGGATCAATTAGACTGGATCTTAAACATTCTGGCTGTCCTTCAACAAGTTGTTCAACACAAAACATCGAAACAATTCGTGAAAGTATTGCTGAGAATTAGAGGGACATCAATTTGGCACTGTGATCAAGAATTGGATATTTTGAGAAGTTCTCTATTTTCACGATTTGCGAAAGATTTGCATGCTTACAAAGTTCAATTAATCCAAGAACTGAAGCCTACTGACACGCAATAAAGCTCCTTGACAGCGAAAAAATTCGTTGAATGGATTATGGAAATAATAACAACTAAATGCTAATTTTTCGAACAAAATTATCTTCAGCAATGAGGCTCATTTTCATCTTGATGGATTGATCGACAAAATCGACAAAATCGTCGTATTTGGGATTCAGAAAATCCACAAGTGATTGTTGAGAAACAAACGCATCCACAATATGTTACTATTTAGTGCAGATTTTGAGCTAGAGGCATCATCGAACCATTCTTCTTCGAAAATGCGATTAGTCAGGCAATAAGTTAATAGTGCACATTCGCATCGTGACATGATCCAATTTTTTGTGTCTAAATTGTAAAATATGAATGTGGACGACATGTAATTTTAATAAAACAATGCTATATGCTATACAGCCCGACAATTCAAACAATTCAATTATTGCATGAGTATGCAATTCATTTTCTTTGTGCGATTTAATGCTATTGGATCTTTTTTTTTGGGATTTTTTGAAATTTAAGATTTATGCCGATAAGCCCACGATCACACTGAAGAAGGAAATTGAGCGCTGCATCAACGAATCAGCCACATTTATGTAAAATGATCATAGCAAAATTAGCAAAAGAGTGCGTATGTGCATTATGTGTACAGCAAAACCGTGGAGACCATTTACCTTGCTATTCCATACATAATCTTATATTGTATATTTTATGAATCAATAAAAAATTTATAATTTTTAATTATAAACCTGTGTTTTTTATCAAAATTACTTCTTGCGTGAATTTTGGAACATCTTTTATAATATATCGTTTTTAGTGAAGCTTGATATTTCGCTTGCATGAGATTTAAAATCATTATATTTTAGTCAGACAAACAAGATTTATTGAGTGAAACTAATAAATTATAATAAATATAAATAAAATTTTTGTTTTCGATTTTTATCCTTGCTTTATTCATTTCCTTCCTCACTTTCTTTTCTTTTATTTTAAATTTTAAATAATTTTTATTTTAATTTTAAATTCAATTTATTTTGTCTTTTGGTTTATAATACACAAGGATATTTTTAATTATTATTAGTTTAATAATATAATAGTAAATATTTTAATTTATCATAAGCAATATTTTGTATCAATTTGCCTTACTAATCAGTTGATAGAAGGTACATGTGGAATTATTTTCGTCTGGAAAACGAACACCTATACAATGTAGGCAAATTTCGAGCAGTTCGAGACATCTCCATAGGGCCTTACAGACGCAATGAAAATGATGAACCGAAGGCGGCTATACGTCTTATGGATTGTACAAATAATGACGGTGATGAATCGACGGCATTTGAAATTGTCAAATGTGATCATTGAAATTGTCATCTTGTAATTGCATAATTTATTCGTACATACTTTAATTTGTAAACATGAATTTTATATTTATAAACAACAGTCTATTTATAAACATAATCATTTATATATAGATAAAAAACATAACTTTCATTTATTAATGAATTGAATTTCCTCTTCCTTATTTGTATATTGCATATTATTTTGCATGGTCAGCATGTTGAGTCAACTAATTTTAATTTAATTTATGCTTTTATGCTAGTATTTATATATTATTTTGTTATATTTGGAATTATATATAATAAATGATAATGATCAATTTGATTTCAAAATAATATTTGCTCCTTCCTAATAGGAGATTCATATGGAATTTTTTTCGCTTGGAAAACGAACATTTGAATAATTGTGGTAAGTTTAGAGCGGTCAGAGATATATCTGTTGCCCCAGTTGATTGCTCTGATCAATCTCAAATTTTAAGAATGATGGATGCAGCAGACGGAGTAATCAATCGAAAAAGAAAACAAAAGATGGTGGATAAAAAACCCTTACGCGCGTTTTCTAAAGGTGAATCTCTGATTTGTGATCTTGATACATAACTAAAAAAATTAATGGATTCACAAAAATTGTTGTTAATTTCTTGAAAATTGAAAATTGTTAATTTCTTTCTTTCTATAAATGTAAAGAAAACAATGATTTTATTAGTCATATAGTACAAAGATACATTATATCAGAATGATTCTATTATTTAAGTAAATGTGAAAAATGTATAAATGTCGTCAATCATTACAGTACAAATATATATATAAGATATAAAATATATATAAGAATGATTATATATATATATGATTTAAATAATTATAGGAAATGTATAAATGTTCTCATATATTATAAAATTCTACAATATTTACAGTTATGCTCTTGTCATAATTCATACAGCTTGCACTCTTATCATAATTCATGTTCAAATATCCTGCGCAGTAAATCATTCGCGAGAATCAATGTTTCGAGAGATCGTTGAATATATAATGATAAATTTAAATTTAAAAAATTTAAAGACGATAAAAACATATTATACAAATAAAAGAGTTTCGACAATATAAAATATTGATTATAAATTTTAAATAAAATAAAATATTTTAATGTTTTTAATGAATTATTTTTTCTCCGTATTGACATATATAAATAATGCAATATTTTATGCGTTTAATATGTAATAAAATTCTTACTTTTTTTTATCTTTTATTTTATTATTATATATTTATCTTATTATTATTTTTCATCGCTTTATTTTAACAGATAATGTCTCTTTTGTGATAAAAGTATACTACCTAACCTAAATCTAATTTAACGCCTTTTGAATATTTCGACAGCTGAAAAAAATAAAACGCTAATAGCGAGTGTATCGCGCGTAATCTGTGTCAAATATAGACATACTTTTAATACTCTTTGAACAGTTGTTGAAAGTATAATAGTAGTAATATATTAATTAGTATTTTAGAAATTTATTATTATCAAATTATTTGTTTATAGCGCAAAAGATTAATTGCATTCATTAGGAATTTTATTTGAAGATAATTTCACAGGCTCAAAGTTTTTAAGAATTATTTATTTCTGATACAAAACTTCTTGTAAGTTTTATATTGTAAATTTATTTTTTTTTTTTATTCAATTTATTCATTTTCGGTAGATATTATGAGTCAATATTTTTTTTCAAACTTTTCACATATATTCAAATATTCAAAGCGAATAGAATATTAAATATTCTTATTTCTTCTATAGAAGAACGTTTCAAATATTAAAAATAATTTGTCTTAAAACTAATTGAAATTTATTTTAATTAAATATAAAATAAATATTAATTTTTTGAAATATTTAAGTTAAATATTACATAATTTCTATAAATATATACTTTTTTTTCTAAAATATATTATTTATTCTAAAAAATCTGTAAAAAATTTGTAAATTTGTAATTTTTTAAAACAATATTTTCTAATATTGTATCATAATATATTAATATGTTTTATATCTCAAGTGTACCATGAAAATGTATTATAAATATTTTTATATTTAATAATATCTTTATTAATTAAATTATTTATTATTTTTTTCAAATAATAAATAGATATCAAAGTATGTTCAATTGTAAATAAATAAAATTAAATTATAATATATTACTTAACTAATTTTTAATGTCATTGATCCAAGAAGATTGAGAAACACTGTTTCAGAATATTCTGTATCAATGGTTCCCAACTTGTAAATCATAATTTACAAAGGGGTTGCAAAATATTTTGTAAGGGTCGCTATTATTATTTCTAGAAAGTTAATGACTTTTAAAACTTATTTATTTTAATATTCTACAGAATATCATATTCTTTTGTAATTCAAAGACAAAATCATTAATTGTTATATGGCGATAAAATCATATTAATATTTTTTATTTTCTTAGCCTCATATGAGAGAAGAAATTACAATTATAACATTAAGAAAAGAAACAGTAATTGAAAAAAATTAGAAAAGATTACTTTTATATTCATTTATAAGGACACTACACTAAATCCAATATTATTATATATCATTAATAATTTTCATTTACTTGAAGTGACTTGATTTTATGGTAAATCATTTCCCAATGCAAATCCAGATAACATATATAAAATGAAAAAAGAAAAAAATAATAAACACAGGGCATCGAACACGGAAATATAGAATACGCAGAAGGACAAGTGTTATTAGTTTCGTCGGCGACGATGTGTGGTGGAAAGGGTAATGGTAGTATTGATTGCAGCGGAACTTGACCGCGCAAACTCTCTATCTGCCTTCAATGAAATGACGTGCTTACATATGGAACCACGACGGACGGAACGACGATAAAAACCTGTGGATACCACACCTGGCCGACACCTGCCAGTTGAAACGGTGATGATGACATCGACCCTCTGTACCTGCACATGGTTGCTGTTACCCTGCTGTGTTTTCATCACTCTCTCTACCGGTGAACACGATTTTTATCGTGGTAAGAATACATATCGTCCATTCGCCCGAATACACTTATCTTTTCGAGGGTAATGACACTATAGATGTATCATCGCTCTCCATAATCTTTTGTTTCTTTTCATTTCGTTTTTATCATTGTTCTTATGTTTTTTGAATAAAATTCGCAAATACATTTTAAAGAATCTCGAAAAATCGAACCACATTGCACGAATATCATTGTCACAATATAATCATTTCACATTTCTTTATTTCTAATTTTATGAAAAATTAATTTTATTCTTGATTAATTTCTTATTTTTTAGTTGTGATTGAATGAAAGTGTTAAATTTCAAATTTTATGAAAAATGTTTAAGGTTCATTCGGAGTTTACATATGCTTGCGTGTACAACGTTACTGATGTTAAAGAAATGTTCTATTTCTTTTTAATTTATTTAAAATATAATTTGATTGAGTAATTTAGAAATTCATTTTCAAATGTATAATTTATTTAAAAGAAAGGAATTTAATTAAATGGTAAATGCGCGTGTAATTATTACACATAAGTATATTATTATCTAGTTTTAAATTGAATAGAAATTAGATACATATGTGTTTATCAAAGTTACAGTAACGTACATGTATACATGTTAATTAAATTAGTTTGTCTGTCGACCACAGGAAATTCCTATTCTGATATCGCCATAAAATAAACCAATAATGAGTGGATATTGTATAATTTACCAATATTGTTTTGTATTTATAAAATTAATATATTATATTATTTTAGTGATAAAAAAATAATGTTGATTTCGTGAATATAAAAATATTTGAATCAATTTATTATAATAATAATCCCATATATCTAGTTTTTGAATCATTTAATATATATATAAAGATTATAAAACTATTGTATAATCTATTAATAAATTTTTTTATATATTTTTCTATTTTTTTATTTTATAATTCATATTTATTAAACTGTCTATTATGTCTGTTATATAGTTTGTTTTTTTATCGGTAAACCCGAGAAAACTTTCTCATTGACTTAAAAATTTAATGAAAACAATCGTATTATGAAAGAATGCAGAAATAAAGAAAAATAATTAAATCAAAAAATTATAAAAAATAATAACTAGCTAAATGTAATCTGAGAAATAAAGCATAGAAGATAGGCAATAAAAGATAGAAAATAAGTAAGATAGAAGTAATAAAATAGAAAATAAAAAATTGAAAGAGAAAGTTTAGAAAAGAATTTACTAATTTAAAAATCTAAATATTTAATATAAATATAAAATAGAATCGATACTAGAAATCGAGGATAAAAAAATCGAAAAGAAACAATCGATATTTTAATTTTCTTTAATAAATGCGAGAAATTAAAAATTAGATATCAATTCCAAGATGTAACAAATTGTTACATGTAAAAAAAATTAATTTTTAAACAGTTAAATACACAAGAATAATGTGAATATTTTTCAGATGATATTCCTGAATCTTCGAACATTGCGCTTAAGCAATTTTTGATTAAATATCTTAAGGGACAAAGAATGTATTATCCTTCATTGTTTGCGAGCCAAGCTTACAAGAAACATCATTTGAATTTATATCGCCAAAAAAAAGAATTTTTGGAGGCTTTGATCAATAAAAGAAATTTGGCTGAAATTCTAAGAAAAGAGAAATCGAAAAAATGGAATTATCGGAAAATAAAATACAACGAGCCGATCAACGAATTAGCGCAAGAGAGGGAACATTATTCTCCGCTTTATAAAATATTGAATCCGTTCCAGAGTTCCTTGAAATATATGAACTTTAAGATGCCTTATTTTTCCCATGAAACGAACGATGATGAGGATATGAATTTTCAAGACGATGACGAAGATGAATATGATCAAAACTTTGATAGAGGAATGAAGGAAGAACCATTGTTTGCACTCCACGGAAGTTACAGTGGTTCAATTAACGAAGACGGCAAAACTGATATACAAAAATCGCAAGCGATCATACCGGAATTCATTTTTAAATTTGAGGATTCAATTTTGCCCGAGAGACATCCGTTCGCAGTAAAACCCAATGATCCTAGATATTATAACAACGCTCTTTTTTCGTTAGGTATGTCAAACTTTAATATATTTCATTTATTATGCTCTTTTTAATAAAATATCCTACTTTATATTTCGAAATAAACGTGAAAAATAAAATTTCTTATTATTTTTTCTTTTTAGAAAAAATAAATTAGATCTGATTCTAAATCTTTAAAAATACATACGATTTTTTAATTTTATTTGAAAGTTAAAAAACACAGAATTTAAAATTATTTATTATAATGATATATTATATAATGATATATTATAATGACATATAATTATTATAATATATTTTGAAAAATAAAAAAATAATAATATGTTAGCTAAATAGAACATTTTTAACTAAGAAGAACAGAATTTATATTGATAATATTTTTATAACTTTATATAAATTTATAATATGATTATATAATATCGTGTTATTATACCTATAATAGATGATAAAGACAATTCGGATTTCGAAAAATCGATAAAAAATAATACAAAATGGGAACAAGAGAATATAATAACAGTAAATGGACCCATCGTACGTAAGGAAAATCCAAGAAATATTGAATCCAAATTTAAGAATACGGATCCAGTAATACCTGAATTGGAACGACGAACGGAATACAATCCATTGTTTGTACCTGTAAACCAGGATTTGAATAATGATATATATTTTATTGGTAAGCTAATATATAGTTATTAATATATATAGTTATTTGAATTTTATTGCACCAAATTATATATAAATTAATATATTCTTTTTGGAGAATTGAGTTTAGACAAGAAAATGAAGCATAACATATAAAAAATATTGATTTATTTATTAAATTATAAGCAATTTAATTTTCCATTAGATTAGGGATGTCGAACTTGTTGCACCATTTTCTTTCTTTTCTTTATTTGATTAATAGGACATAGGAGAAAAATTCTATATCTATTTTTTTTCTTCAGTTGTTGCATGAATCTCACTATAAGTAGACTGTATAGACATATATATAAGTCTTTTGTTTGTAATAAATATTAGGATTGTGGCTTATTCATAATGGAAGATCAATTGATTAAAAAAGAATCATGCAGTTTCTGAAATTGATATAAGAATAGTGGAACACTAGCTAATCAAAATGAACTATCGGTAAGGGAAAAGCTCGACATCTCTGTATTAGATAGAGAGATGCAGATAAAATTCAGTTGGTTGTACTATATTATAATAAAATTTGCCAAATTGAACTTTTCAAATCAAAAATTTAAGAACGTCTCATATCACTTTAAATGATATAATTGATTATTCCAATTATTTAATTGGTAATTATTTAGAATAGGAATTAGAATAGAATTATTTAGAATAAATCTTCGCTAATTTCGATGATTTTTAAATATGTTGTAGAATTTTTGTGAAATATGTTGTAACATTTTAAACAACTTTTTTTTTATATGTTATCGCTATTCAGCCTAGTTTTAGAGATATTTGCAAAAAAGATTATTATTGATATAGAATTATTAGAATTTATTATATATATATGCGCTCGCAGTTGCATAAATATGTGACCGTTATCCTCATTATTAATATAAACAGCTAAGATGTATAGGATGAATTAGTAAAAAAATCTACTTTCTGATGAATTATGAATAATAATAGTAAGCTTAAAATGTTTCAAATGTATCAACTTAAGCATTCTACGGATCTTTCGGAAGATTTGAGATATTTTAAATTTAATATTTTAAAGTAATTCATAAGAAATTAGCTTTTTAAATAAATTATCCCTTATATATCGCTGCTGCGATATATTTATAGAAACAGCAGATAAATGACAGTCAGATATTTACATATATACAACTACGGATATATACGTACAAGAGAAATTTTATATAATAGCAGCAATTTTTTTTCAAATATTTTTTTTTTCAAATAATATTTTATATTATTAATATTATATTATAAATATTTTTTTCAAAAAATATGGTCAAACAATAGTAACATGTAAAAAAAAAAGTTATTCAAAATATCGATTTCAACAACATATTCAAAAATCATAAAAATTGGTGAGAATTTCCTTATTTTGAATAATTATTAAAACTTTTAATTCTAATTCATCATTGATTATCGAATAGTTGCTGTAGTGATTGATTATATCATAGGACTATATAAAATTCTATATAAAATTTCAATAATGAACACTATAAATTATAATAATTATAGAACTGTTATATACATAATGTCTATATCAATTCTTCATAATTCTTTAAAAGTTTCGATTTGTAATTTAAAAGTACATTTTATGATCAGATTTATATGAACTTATATATTTTTAATCCTATTTCTATTTAAATAGTTTTTATTCTGTTGTTATTTTTTGCAGTTATGTTCTATATTTTAATTTCGATAGCTGAAAAATCTAATTATTCATTATCAAAGAATTAAATATATTTGATTTATATATCACTCACGTAGATTAGAATTGAGTTATTTTATTATTAAGTTATATTATTTTCTGATCACGAAGAAATGACTAATAATATCAGAATAATCCTCACGTTAAAATTTTACATTGAAGCCGATATCATTATAGTCATATATTACTCGATAATCATCAACAATAATTATTATAACGAAGATAGTTGTATTAGTAACATTTGGACAGACAGTATAATATATAGATATATAACATTTTTATATGCAATTTGTTAATATATAGTATAAAAATTTTTTTATTAATATCTTAGAAACTATATATAGAAATAAATATTCGAAGTTAAAATTTTCAATCCATTTCTTTTCCCTCCGCCTCTCTGAATTTCATGTTATCAACAATTGATGTTTTTCGATATTTATAATATATAATTATCTTTTTTTACAATATCTAATCTTTTTTTGCATTACATTATATTAATGTTTCAAAATAAATAATTGTACATTTAAAATGATATGAATATAAGTCTTTAAAATTTTTATTTATTTTTGTAACATTGGTTCGACATAAAAGATATTGTAATGCGATATTGTAAACAATGCATGGTTTACTTATCTAGCGTTTTTAGTTAAAATTAAATTACTTATAATTTGATAAAGCTTCAATTGATATTTTTTCATAACAATTTTTATGTTTGGTGTTTCTTTATCAAAAAATTGAATATATCATCATATATATATAAGATTTTCTTTAAAAAATATATATATATATATATATATTTTTAGAGGAAATTTTTAAAAAAAATTCCATCTAAATTTTTAAGAAAATAAATTTTTAAGTTTTAATATATGGACGTTACTATATAGAGGAAATGAAAGTGGGTTCTAAATATCAAATATTATGATAAAAGAAGCTGATATATAGGCTTAATAAACAAATTACAAGAATTTTAAATGCGTTAGATAAAGTGAGACAATAATAGAAAATATTTATCATTTATATAATATTCTTCTTTAATGAAAAGAAGAGAAATTCATATTCTTTTAAATGTAATTAATTATATCGATATTTAAGTATAATATAATGCAACCTACTATATGTTGCATAACTTATTTCAAAAGTTACGTCAAGTCAATTTTAGTATATTCATTCTATTTTTTATTTAAATCCACAGATAAATTATATTATATTCAATCAGCCTACTTACTAAAATTTATAGATGAATTGTTATATTATATTCAACTAGCCTTGTTGAAATTCATAGGAACAAATCAAAATACAATAAGAAAAAAAATGAATATTTTTTCTATACACAAACTTGTTTCTTTTAATAATATAGTATTAAAATATTAACATATTAACATAAATATTAACATATTACAAAAAAATCATATATATTTGACCATAATATTTGAATCAATTTGAATTTTATAGATCACTGAATGTGTATGTAATGAATCAGGTTACAATTAATTGACTCTATTTCATTTGCAATCAATGTTTCTTATTTTGATGATTTGAAGATTACTTAGAAAAGAATAACAATCAAAATTCATATCTATAACACTTCATCTTAACATAATAATATTCATTGAAAATCCGTATAATCCGTATATCATTGCATTTTTCATGTTATTAATGTATATTGATTTCTTCAAATAAAATTATTTTGATAAATGATTTATTCTAAACATATATTCGAATATGTTATTTCATCAAACTCGATTTCGTAACACAAATAAAATTCCTACATATATTGAAACATATTACGATTAATACATCGATTCGAATGCCTCGCACGCTGGAAATGATAAAATGATATTTCAACTTGTGTAAGCCATTGATTTAAATCTATTATAAGTTAATACATGCATTGCAATATGTTTCAACTTCAGTAAAATGATATAAAATAAAATAAAAAGATATATTATTATATACCTATATATATATTATATACCTATATATATAATATATATAATAATATATATATAATAGATTTAGTATAGATTAGAATAAAGATTAGTAGTATTATAATATTTTAAAAACATATAAGATGTATATAAAAACATAGCGAGTAGGATGCGATTACGATGTAATTAAATTATAAGTTTTTCTATCATATGTGTTGTCTATCACATTTTAATTTTTTTTTTTTCAGTTAATCATCTATTATATTGCTATTGCAGTTTATATTCTTATTCTAACAGTATATTATTGAAATAGAATTGCTAATAATTGAATATTCGTAATCGAAAAAAAGATGATAGATAGAAAGAAAACGTGAGATGATAATATTTGAAACCGAATTTTATTTTTTTGTATAAGATATAAAATGAAAGCTTTGTTCAACAATTTTTCGAATTAGGATATTATTTCAATTTATTCGCTAATTGCATTTCGGAAATAATAGTGTAAAAAAAGAAAAAAATAATGGATCTGTAATGTGCAATCATGATATTTAAGGCATTCATGGATATAATATTAGTGTGTGATATTAATTCATGTTATTAAATTATGATATTTAATTTTGTTTATTATTTCTTTTTGATTCAATAATCTCATATTAAAATAAAAAATATTAAATCTAAAATAAAAAATAAAGATCCATAAAGATTTGTTATGATTTGTGATTCATTAATCTACATAAAGGGATCTATGAAATTCAAATTAATTTAAATAAAAGAAGCAAGTTTTTGTGTAAAAAAAAAAAAAAAAACATTCAATGTTTCTAATCCGAAATCTTATTGGAATTGTTTTGATTTGTCCTTATAGACTAGTAAGTAGACAAATTAAATGTTAAACACATGGATTATTCACATATGGATTTAAATAAAGTGATTTCGGTTAACAGCAATTTTTAAACAAAATTTTTTACACATTATTTACTAATTGTTAATTTTTCTAATATTTCAAAAAAAAATTAAATCATTTAAAAAAGTTATAAAAGTTATAAAAGTTTCAAAGATTGATTTTTATTATTCGAAATTCAGAAATACATTTATTTTTCATCGAGGAATTCTATTTTACAAGCGATATTGCGATACAGTATTGCAGTCTCATTCTATAGCTTTTATTTTATCTAATGCAAACTTAAAATGTTTAATAATAACTGTTAATTATATGTAATATTATTATATGTTAATATCTTGTTAATTAAATCTTATCGAATATTTGTATATATGAACATTTTTTATTATTTTAAAATCTACAATTCACAGTGTTTTAAATTTTTATAAAATTATATAATCCTATAAAAATACATATAGGATATTTCATTTAAATCGATATTCGAATATTTATCAAACTATTATGATAATTTTTCAAATAAAAATAATAATTTCACGAGACATGCAATTTGACATAATTAATTTTATTGTGAATAGACTTTATAGAGAATATGAGAGGATATGAGAACAATTTTGTTTTTTTAAAATGAATTTTTTTGATTATAGATGCATATTGATATTTCCTATATTTCCTATATATTTGATATTTCCTATATAAAATCTTATTAAGTATTCTTAAACTTTCTTTTGCATATATTGTTGTATAATATATACCTAGAAAAAGTTTAAAGATATTAAATCAAACGGAAACTCAATATAACTAATTATTTTTCAATATCTTTGCGGAATGCCAGAATGCAAATTTAATATTTTATATTTACATATTTTCGAAAAAAGATAGAGAGATATTCATTCACTTGTTGTTAAAATATATATTAAAATTTTATTCTATTAAAATATTATATATAAAATATATATATTATTATATATATTATATATTAATATATAATAATATAATATATATATATAATATATATAATATAATAATATATATAATAATAATAATAATAATAATATGTATATT